GGTTCAGTTAAACGCGAGAAAACCGATTTTTTTCAAAAAGCTTGGAATCGTAAAATGTTTTTTTAATCGCACTGGCAACCTAAGTTTCTAGGTGCGCGCAACTGCGACTTATACCGCCCATTAAAAAAAATACCAGAAAAATTCGATTCAGAAATTTAATGGGCTTTATTCGGAATCAGTACCCCGAAAACATAAATATCAGTCATAAAATACTAGTTTAAAAATTTTACCCGAAAAAAAAGATTGGATGCCTGGATTATATCTATACAAACATTTTTCTTCTCCAGCTTTTGTTTACCATAGCGAACAAAATTAAGCTAATGGCCTTTTTCAAGGACATATTTATCTGTATGCCAATTTTTATCAAAATAGGTCAAGCAAGTCAGGTGTGTGAAAATGCTTAATTCAGTCGGAAAGACAAAGTTACTGACGCAGCCTATTCATACTATTCATATTTATTCCTACTTATATTAATTGTGAAAGTTTTGTGTTTCTTACTCAATCACTGTAGTTATAGAATTTGGCACACCTATAAGGTTCTGATTTTTCCTTTTGAGGTACGGAACTCTAAAAACAACGGTCCGCGGGTATAATCCTGGATATTGTTTCTTCAACAAAGGTTCTCTAGAGATATTCTTGACGACCTCCGTGGCCGAGTGGTTTGTACGCCGGGTTTCATGGTGTCGCCGAGTCGAAAGGGTCCCGGGTTCGAATCCCAGTGGGGGCAGATATTTCTGTGATGAACATGAGCATTTGTACTCCAGCCATGGATGTTTAATATAGATTCCTATATAATTATACTTATATATGTACAGTATATGTATTCTATCCGTTACCCAAGTATCCCATAACACAAGCCTTATAGTGCTTACTATGGGGCTAGGCTAATTGGTGTGAGTGTTGGAAATATTTATTTATTTATTATAAAAAAAAACTGAATTCTAAAGTCTACACGAAAGAAGGCGCGGGATAAGGCTAGTTTTAAATAATAATAAGTCAATGGAAGACTTTAGAGTTAAGCATGATTATAATCTGTACTGAAGTACAGTATTTATGTACATTACCTACTACATTTTGTAGGTAAATAAATATAATAGTGGAAAGTACTCTAATATGGCGTGTGTATATGCGTAAGCAGTTATATTATGAAATCGATATCATTTGAGTATTATTATCGTAATCAGTTTAAATAATCGATGTTCACTTCAATGTTACGTTTGTTGAAATATAATTTTAATTCCAATAACAACAAGGTACAATTTACTAAATTTAAGTTTTTCCTGTTTTACATGTTTTTTAAGTTCAAATGCAATTCCTGTGTACCTACCGCATCGGCAGCTGTACAATCAAGTGCTATGATACCAGCAATATGATTGGGACCCATTTCTTCAAAATGTGGTTTAAAAATTCGCATTGCATTATGGTCTAAATCTCCACATTAATACAGCGCTGAAACGTCATAAATATGAATCTTTTCGAATTTAATGACATTTCTAAATATTTGTTTCTTAGGTTTTCACGCACATCACTCATTAAATAAAACTAGTTTTTACGGGTTAATGCACGAAACTTTATTTATTTATTGACGTTTCGCAGCCTTTTCAGGTCTGCATCGTCAGAATAAATTTCTAAATATATCAGTTTAGGACAAGGAATTTTATTGAGAATGAAAGAGAATGTGTTCAAATCACATTTGATATTGTAAAAAAATGTATAAGCGATACAAAAAAAAGAAATTAAATAACGGTGAGTAAAAGAAGGTCAATTGACAGGCAAAAATCGGAAACGTCTGTTCACTTAATTCTTGGATTCCAAACGTTGGCGCGTAGACTGTAAAATTTTCAAATCCGCGTCGGATCCTCGCGTGAAAATTTTACAGAATAACCCCGCATCTTTTTATAATCAGTGCTTCGTATCAAAGTCTATTGTTGATAGCAAGATCTTTGGTTAAAATATTAGCTCCTATGATGTCTTTTTGCTGTCCGATATTAAATCTTAGGCGGGTTCGAAATCAAAGACCGTGACTGTACCTATGCATAGAAATATTATTTCCATGGTTAGACAGATGGTCCAATGGACGCGAGAGTCGCATATTTTTTGACTATCGGCCGTAACCATAGACGTCAAATAAAATGTAATTTAAAGTCACGTGTTGTCTTACTTCATTGTTATACCAAAGACAGTGATGAAAGAATAAACCACACCGATTTTTTAAGTCATGGGTTCACTACTTGGGTACAGTAACTTATTCAATACATACATGAGGTAGGGCATAGCAGATTATCCGCTTGAATTTGAATGTGCTGAATTTAATCTGAATAAAAAATAAACCCCTCTGTAGCAGAAGGACAGACTAACATGAGATGGAATCCATTGCAATCTCAGAGTAATATTACGTACATTGATTTCATAGATCCTGCTTAAAATAGAATATGCTATCGGTGTACATCTGCTGTGTCCAGAGGCGCATCGAGCTAAATGTTGTAAGGCACTTTTGCTATCTGCAAGTATAACAAACCGATGTTCTTCTAACCCGTCAATATAATTTATGGCTTCTGAATTTGCAAGTAACTCCATGGTGCCACAAATAATTAAAAAAATTTATTTACAATACATAAGGATAAAAAACAACATCAAATCACCACGACTTTACTCAATAATTTGATGGTGATGTCAGTGAATGTTTGGCCAAAGTTACAAAAACGAATTACTTCGTGTTAAAGTAATAATATTTTCAAATAAAATTTTATGAATTGTAACTATTCCATTTTATTTTTGTTTTCTGTATGGGTCTGTACTTCTGCTTTTATGGAAATCTATCCTTCTGCTGCAGAGGAAAATAACCTACACCTTACATATTTTTTTATTCATATTGTATAGACTAATACATCAAAGTAAAAAAATCTAATTAGTTCTTAATTAATAAGTAAATAGCTCTCGTTATGTGTGGAAGGTATTTTTTTGCTTTCGCTTTCCGAAGTTGCCCAAATCAATAGAAAATTACGACATTTATTTTGTTTTTGTGTCTTTTACTTGCTTAATATTTTGAACAGTATACATTTAGTATACGTTAAATGAAAAATCTAGTCTAATTTGAACTATACACAAATCTACAGGATGTACCAGTTGCTCAGTAAGAGCTCTAAAGGTGCCACGCAACGCAACGTAACATAAAAATATCTCTATACATAAAAGCTCTCGTTTTCTTGTATATCTTAGGCTGCCTTGCAAACCTATATTCCTAGAAGACACTTGATATGTCCATTAATGTCTCAGAAGCGGCAGGGCTATAGCCACTTGATACCTGGGATGAGGAAAGTTTTCTAGTAAAGTTAGCTTTAGTAATAAAAATGTAGCAATGAAATGCTTAAATAGTTTAACGTTGCATAAAGCATAGAGGAATGGCGTACGCATCACTCATATATATACACATATATATATATATATATTGTCGCGTGTGACGCTCCTAGCGTTTCAGTCTCCACCGAGTTACCCTCCAACTTTCATGCTCGTCGGGAAGATCTGCGCACGCATCTCACACACACACACACACACCTATATATACTATATACATATTTATATAGTCGTGTTATTTTTCCATAGGATTTTTTTATTTACACCCCGTCCGAAAAGAAATTTCAGTTCAAAAACAACAAAGCGCTCGGTTATTTTTTTCTATATTCTACCCCTTCGTACGGCCACGCCCATATCATGCAAACCGCGGCAGATCAATATTTTTTCCGTTCTTAGAAACGTTACATGAAGCCTCTAGTAACTTATATTCAAAAGACTGACAATTTGGACGTGACCAAAAGTCATGACCGTTCGTTGAAATTTTGTTTTGCTGCCCTAGACGTTCGGCCCTACATAGAGGGCTTAGGTATGGTGGGAGTACTTAACTAGGTGCAAGGTTGCTCCCCATATATTATTCTGCTGCGCTCGAGTAAATCCAAAAATCCCCGCTTGGGCTTCTCTACTGTTATGTGTATATGTTAGTTTGTTGTTGTTTGAATTAGCTTTGTAATCGGCATGCCAGCTCCATTCCCGTTTCAGACGGGTGCGATTCAAAATTAGGTCAAAAACTTATTTTAGGGCAATTATTATTTTGCAGTCTAGAGGATGGATAGTGATGTTGCGTCGCTGTTTTTCATTACTTAAACTACACGTTTTACTTATTACATTACTACGATATTTAGGGAACCATAACTACTTAGATTATGTGGCGGTAGTAAGTATTTAATTATGATTAAATTAAATCATGTATAACGAAATCGATCCTATACTGAATCCTCAAGAATATCACAGTTGAATACGACAGAATGGAAAACAAAAATAATGAAAGGTTGCTTACAACAGTTTCCAAATAGGTACTTCCTGTCTATTTGTTTCAGTACAGCATTTACTTCTCGCATTGAAAAATTTAGCTGGCTAATTACTATTTTTCTTTGCACCGTGTTATTAAGGGACTATAAGTATCAAGAAAAGGTTTAAAAAATCATTTTTATGTTTAATATTAAAATAAAAGCTATAAATAACCTAATGGCATTCTTGATGGTAGGCGTAAAGTAAGTGCTTACTTATGTTTTTGTAAACAAAACATTTTTAGTTATAAAAATCTAGTAGGTAATTAAATATTTAAAATAAAAATCATGACTGAAGTGGAGTGGTGTTCAAGTTGTTTGGTTTTACAATTTGCTAATAAACTTTGCAAAGACATTATGCTGCAATAATAACTTTCGGTAGGTGAACTTATTGATTATTTTCATCTTAATAATTTTTACTTACTTACTTCGAATTGATAATCGTGGAAGCATTATTGTTTTTAGTTCGTGTGGCGCCGACTATGATAATATACGAAACATGTCATCTAAGCGGTTTTATCGCGGAACAATCGGCACGTTTCGTTCGATATCATGTATTAGGATCGTACCCTGTACAAATTAGTATAAATGCTTTGTAATATCTCAGAGCAGCATCAGACGCACCTCCAACAAACCACCATGAAGACGATAGTGGTATTGATTGCTTTGGCGGGTATTGCCTCAGCTGCTCCCGCATCACCACAAGGAAACGGTTTCAAGATCATTGCAAGCAGATCACCATCATTCATCAAAAGGCAAAAGAAGTCTCCGCAACAGCAGGAATCGTTCATCCCACAATCACCAGAATCCGTATCACAATTTGAAACCTTGCCTGATGACTTCAGTGCTGACGTCAATGGCCCTACTGCTTCAGCCAGGAGCCACTCTGGATTTAAAGGACCAATTGTCGTCAAGAAAAAATCCGGTTACCACTACTATCGAAATTCCGAAGAGGAGCGCGCCGCTGCCGATCCCCATGAAAACTGTGGCAAACAAATGAGAGTCAAGTTATGTAATTCACATGTGAATAGAAGATCAAACGACATGATAGCGGCCACAAATGATAACAGAAATCCTAAAGATGACGTCGAACTCAGCATGCAGGTGGCAGAAGAGGCACTCCAAAGCTTACAAAAAAACATGCAAAAAATGGAAGAAAACGGTCAATGGAAACATGGACAATCGGAATTGGACACTACTATGCACCAAAACATTGAAGCTGTAAGGCAAGCGTTACAAAATGTACAAGGACGTATAGGAAAAAAAGAAACAACGAATTTACAAGCAACAACATTGAAGGATACTAAGCTCGACCACGTAAGTCAAGGTAAATCTCAAGAAGAGAGGTTAGCTCAGTGGAAGGGAACAAAGCAGAAGAACGTCGAAGTGGCAAGTAATATTGAAGATAGATTCAAATCTGCTGATAATTTGCTGCTATCTTCAACTATTGATACTACAAAAATGATGAGAAGTAATGGGCAAGAACATAAAAATCATCGTGTACCAACCATAAGCAGTTTGACAATAAGCAAACATGCGGCAGATGAAACAGATAAATTGTCCAAGCTTGACCAACATAAGACTTTAGAAAAGCGCACAAGTGAAAAAAATGATATGGATGTGACTGCAGCTGCATCCGAACACATTAAAACTACAGCCGAGCACATTCCTTCAACTCCAAAAGGAAAGTCAAATGATTTAGCAGTCGCTAGGCAAGGAATAAAACCCAATGCCAAAGCTGAATGGAATAAAGATGCCAGAAGCACAGATACACATTTATCGCTGTCATCTACTAATCATGTTCATGAACATGAAAATATTAAATCGAAGACAGAAACATCTTTTAGGAATTCGGAAAATAAATTTCAAGGTTCACATACTCTGCATAATATACAAAAAGTTAACACAGCTGAGCACGCAACAAGCAATAAATTCTGGGAGCACAAGTCTGAACACCTAAAACAAGGAAAGAGTACTTGGGAAGAAACACAATCTGAAAATACTTTTATGAAAACGGCGGAACAAACAAATTTAGCAAAAACTACAGCAGAAATCAAGATCCCCAGTTTAGCAGAACACATTGACAAAAAGACTGCTGAAGAAGAAAGCGAATTAACAAAAAAGTTGTCACTAGATCTTGAGAAGGCAGCAAGCGAAATTGATATTCATACCGATGTGCTAAAAAATGCAAAACCGGAGCTTCAAACAAAGAGTTCAGAATTTGAGCTCAACGTGAAAGGCCATGGTATGCACATGGGTGGCCACGATATGCATAAAGGAGGACAGGGTATGTTTGTAGGGGGACAGGGAATGCATATGGCAGGTAAAGAGATGCACGGTATGCCTATGCAAGGACATGGTATGCATATGCAAGGACATGGTATGCATATGCAAGGACATGGTATGCACATGCAAGGACATGGAACGCACATGGAAGGACATGGTATGCATATGCAAGGACAAGGCATTCACATGCAAGGACAAGGTATGCATATGCAAGGCCAAGGTATTCGCATGAAAGAACATGATATGCATATTGGTTTTCAGGCAGGTATGAAACATGGAAAATTCGGAAAGTCATCTGATGTGGATATCGCCATGCAAGAAAGCGATCAAATGGATACGCTCGAGACAGCTGAGAAGTCGGCCAAGGAAAATATGCTTCAATGGAAACACCATGATAATGCTAGGACTTCATATGGTGGCTATGCTCTCGGTGGGCTGAATTTGGGTGGTGCAAGCGGTGTTCATTTGGCTGGAGCTGGGGGACCGGCAGTTGGTGTTTTCCCACATGCCAAAGTGGGTGGTTGTGCTATCCCCTTGCTTCTCAGTTGTTCCCCTTCGGTAGTTCAAGGCAGTTTGGCTAAATCTCACTCGTCATATGCTGCACCTGCTTACAAGGAAAGTGATGACTTGAATTCGAAGAAAAAACGCGACGCTGTCAAGACAAGTAAAGACCTTACCAGCAGCAAAATGAAAATGCCAACAAAAAAGAATACGGAAATTTTGGAGACAATGCTTTGAATTGCCGTGTATACGATTTTTGAGAATATGACAATTTGTACTTTTTTACTTCAACTGCATCACAAATAAAGCAAACCTATAAACATTGTTTTATATTATTTATATCTATTCCTGGCATATGCTTGGCACCCTATTTTGTGAAGCACATAAAAAAATTTCGTCAGTGTCAGAAAATTTTACAAAACATGAATCTTTTACTATACACATAAATGGTTCTGACGACAATAAATCAAGTAACTTAAGAACACCCAGACCCGGTAAAATAGCAAAATACAGTCCTAATAATAAATTATAGTAATATAAGTTATTTACGGGATTGTTACCATGTACCTTGTTTTTAGCGAGTTTCCGATATTTCGGCACTGTTGCAAGCGCCATGATCACGAAGTAACTGAAGTAATTGCGGGTAGGCTGTTATTGGCAGACATATCGGTCTACCCTCCGACGAAGTCTTTTATTGCGTTCGATACCCGTACCACTGTTCACATTCTCACTATTCACTCGAAACAGACACTCGACAATTTAAACCCGTCCTCACGATTGAAATTTTTATGTTTTATGTCATTACCAATCTTGGTATGTAGTGGCGTTCTGTCGAGATAATCTGTGCGTTATGAAACTCAATCCAGTTCACTATAATACTACTTATATTACTATAATGTTAGTGACCATGAAAGTTTAAAACAATATACTAATAATAAATGTAAATCTGTGATACATTAATACATTTATTTACTTCTTTATAAAGTTTTTTTTTATCTTTAACAGTTTTAAGTTTAAGTAAGTCTCACTTACTAACCCACTACTTACCCAGCAAACATTTCTTAGGTCGCCACAACGTGCCGATTATAACATTTGGTTCCGTATGCTGGGCGCAAATACGTCGCTATGACGTTGATACGACTGACAATAGGCCCATTTTATACGAATCAGTGACTAAGCAGTCGTTTATGTCGCTAAGTGAACGTATAGCGGTCGTGAATCCACTTTTAGTTCATTTTATCGAATAACCAGTGATAATCCAAACTTTTACATGGTAATTTAACGTAAAGTAATGACATAAACGTAGTGAGTTGAAACTTTGTAAAACTGGACTGTTTAACTTTAAGTATACACGTTTTTTTCGTAGGTATGCCATCTCCATAGGTTGAAGTACTCAGAGTGTTTAACACATCATTCCATCTTTGTCAATTCTTTGATTTAAATAGGGATAGAATGAGGCTTATACGTGATTAACTTTCAAATTTGAATTAACAACTTTGATGCAAGTGGGCCTTATGAGATTGACTATCCCAAGTGGTATCGAAACTGGCAGCTTCCGCACTCGCAGTTGAGACCGCTGCGCCTGTGTGCCACGCACACTCTGCACCATCGGTAAAGCAGCCTCTGTTTATTATTTAATATTATGAAAATTTTACGAAACATTGTCTTCTTCATACCAATTTTCATGCGGTTTTGAGATCATCGAGAACATACTATACTCGCACATACAGACCAACACGGTTTTATAAAGTAGTACATAGTATGAAGAAATGCTGTGAAAAAATATATATCTGTTTCATACGTTATTGCATTTCATATAGTTATGTAGATTTCATTTGATATTCTAGCAATGAACGACGTCTGTACTGTAACATAACACCACAAAGTCAGCACAGTTTTCAATGTGTATTTATAATCATAAGTGCACATTTTTATAATAATTGCCTTGCCACACGTGTTTACAATATCCATAGAAAGAATGTTTCTTAACAGTATCATAATGAAACTCGTTGTGATATTTATCATAGCAATCAATGTTAATTTTGGAACTAGTGTTCCTTTAAACAATGCTCAAGACCATTTAACAGTTAGTGACAGTGACAAAACAAATGAGAGTGAGAGAGATTTAACAACTTCTAAAGACCAAACAAATCTATGTGAATCATCAACAAGGCCATGTGTAAAAGAAGATGGTAAGGTACCACGATTACCTAAAGATTTTAAAGAAGTCATCAATAAATTGTTACCGTCTACATCAAAATATGAAACCGGCGGATCGAAGAGGGCGCAGGAATTCGGTGTTGGCATTTCTCCTTCCAATGAAAATTTACATGGTTTCACTCATCGGAAATCATTTGCAAAATCGAATCGAGTGCCTCCTATTAGAAGACTGCCCCCGGTGTATGTAAATAAGCATGGAATGTTGTCCAGACATAGGTTTCCACAGCAAAATGAAGAAACCATATCAAGAGTAACGTGGAATGAATATGACGACGAAGAATTTCGGAAACAACTTGCTCATGACGCCAACATGGAGAACGTCTTGCCGACGATGGAAGTACCAATGGCGAGGTCTCATCATCATGGTGTTATTTCGACTTCTCAAGTCGCATGGTATCCTAGTACTTTTGCGAGTCAATGCAGCGTACCTATATTAATTTCGTGTGTTCCAAATATTCATGTGGGAGTTTTGGGCAGAAATACATAATAAAAATATGATCATCGGGAGGCTTGTTAATTTACCTAGTTCTTATATTAGTAATATTTGAAAAATAATAAATATTTCAGTTAAAAGAAGTTTTGTCTTTTATTAATCTATATTAAAAGTAAATAATGCAACATGCATTCACTGACTCCTTATAATGATTGACCAACGTAAGGCTGTGTTTCCACATAAGCGGAGCTGAAAGGAGCAGAGCAGTCATAAAAAAATTACCAATAGCATTGCTTAAAATACACATCCCTTATTCGCTCCGCTTCAGTGGACAGTATTAGTCACAGGAGTGGAGAACAATAATTATGCGCGCGGAGTGAGCGGCGCGTAGTCATGCTGAGCGGGGCTGGGCAGCGCTGAGTGTTCTTTTTGTTTAATTGAAACAAAAAGAACACTCAACGCTTGAATCAGTTTGAATTAACTGACTGCAAACAAAATGTATTCACAGCTCCGCTCAGATCATTTCCATTCTGCTCCACGCTGCTTATTTCCATTTCACATAGCTCCGTCCGGCTTTACATGGCTTATCTTCGCAAGACTTGAATGGAAACAGTTGCCTGGTTACGGAAAGAACGATAATATGCACAACTTCAAACGCCTCAATCTCTCAATAATGTTCAATAAATTAGATTAAATTACTTACTACTATATCAGAAATAAGTTTTTGTTGTAATATAATGTATTAGAATTTGGATTTTCCATCTCATTAATTATCAGAAAAAACATCTAACCGTGAGTTTTCCCAAAAAAAATACAGGTTTACCTCGTATTCTGATATTGAATTAAATAGAATTACTATATCAAAAACTTTCATAAAACTAATCTACCATCATTGAAATATGTATATATTTTTATAATTAGTTCATTAATAATTATTTTATAAGACTCGAAACATCACCCGTAAAATGTAAAATATAATGCGATTCAACTAAGAATAGGACCGACTGGGCGCCATATTGTGATGTCATAGCTGTCAATTCAAACCAAATAGGTAGAGTGAGCAAAAAAAAGTTTTTATTTAATAAAACTTATTAACTAAGATTAAGTGAGAAAAAGCATCAGATTTTTTAATAATATTTATTTACTAAGATTGAGAAAAAAAAACACCGATTTTTAATAATATATATTTATTAAGACTGTGAGGAAAGACATTAATCAGAATCTAGCTCTTCTATTCCGCTCATCTCTGCATTACCACCGGAGAAGTTATGAATAATCATGCACTATTACTAGATCACATACGAACATGCATCCTTTATGTGAACGAAAGTTTGAATTCTAGTTTCTGAACGCAACTTAAAGTGACATTTGGTTGACGATTTAGGTTATCAACCATTCATGGCCAAAGCTCAATAAGTCAAAAAAAATATATCAACCGATATTAATTATCAATATTTGTTATTGTTTGTTTACAAATGTTTGGTTTTTATTCTTGAATTAGCGGAGTGCTAAAAAAGGGTTACAAAATTTTTTTGCAAACCGTATTTTTCAAGCGACATTTGACAGATAGAGGTCATTTGGCTTTCCTATTCTTATTTGAATCGCATTATATACTAGTGCAAATCTACCTACGTGCGGATCAGTACGGCAGCGGCGCAATTTTGTAAAAGGGCTCTGAAGTATGCTAATCCATTTTTTTATACTTTTTTTGCAGATTTTGCAACGTGCCCTCCTGGTGAGATAATGGGGTCTAATATGCAGTGCATCGCCAGGGGGCGGACCACTATTACAAACGACTCTCGCTGGAAATTCTATGATTAAAAATACACAAGGGTGTAAATACACCATTGCACTCCCCCCCCCCTAGAATTAGTAGATTAAATTAAAATAAAGCATTGGCGTATCTGGAATTATTTTACATGCCATGGCCGATACGAAGACGCCAAGTCGGTGAGTAGGTGCGATTAGTTTCATATTCTTCAGTAAAATTAATACTTTAGAGCATGCGTCATGTCCGGTAGTTCCGAATTTTTGCACATTTATTTATGATGGCCCAATGAATAATCCTGACAAAACCGCGAAAATTTTGTTTTTTTTTTATAGTATATTCTCAGAACGTTTTTAAAGTAGACTAAAGAAAATGTTTTCAAATTTGTATGGAGGGTAGTGTCGACCCGTAGTAGTGAGACCCGGCAGACTCCAAATTTTTATAAGATATAGTGCACTTCATCATCATCAGCCTATTAATGTCCCCACTGCTGGGGCACAGGCCTTCCCTATGGATGGAATAGGGAGATTGGGCCATGACCCACCGCGCGGGCCCAGTATGGATTGGTGGGTGCTAACGACTGCAGATGCAGCCGGGACCAACGGGTTAACGTGCCTTCCGAAGCACGGAGAAGCTCGAGATAGTAAATTTTTGGTCACCCATCCAATGACCGACCACTGCGAAAGGTGCTTAACTTCAACGATCGCAGCCGAACGCGCTAAACACTCGCGCCATTGAGCTCCTCATAGTGCATAGTGCACTTAATTATAAATTATTTAACAAAAAACTAGAATTTTTATAATCCCCGTTTTTAGGGTTCCGTAGCCAAGTGGCAAAAAACGGAACCCTTATGGATTCGTCATGTCTGTCTCTCTCTCTGTCCGTCCGTATGTCACAACCACTTTTTTCCGAAACTATAAGAACTATACTGTTGAAACTTGGTGAGTAGATGTATTCTGTGAACTGCATGATGGATGAATGAAGATTTTCTCACAAAAATAGAAAAAAAAACAATAAAATTTAGAGGTACCCGATACTTAGAACTGAAACTCGAATTTTTTTTCATCAAACTCGTGTGTGGATCTATGGATAGGTCTTCAAAAATAATATGAGAGAGGTTTCTATTATATATACATATATATTTTCTACACTGAATAGTTTGCCCGAGAGACACTTCCAAAGTGGAAGTTAAGTTACAGGGTACACAATTCCCTGTAACTTCTAAAATAACAGAATGATGAAACTTAAAAAAATATATGATGTACATAACCATGCAAACTTCCACCGCAAATTGGTTTGAACGAGATCTAATAAGTAGTTTTCTAATACGTCATAATTTAGTCTACGTAAATAAAACTAGTTTTTACGGGTTAATGCACGAAACTTTATTTATTTATTGATGTTTCGCAGCCTTTTCAGGTCTGCCATTTTAAATAAAAAATCATTATTCTGACGATGCAGACCTGAAAAGGCTGCGAAACGTCAATAAATAAATAAAGTTTCGTGCATTAACCCGTAAAAACTAGTTTTATTTAATGAGTGATGTGCGTGAAAACCTAAGAAACAAATAAATTAGTCTACATACTTAAAAAAAAACTATCAAAATCCAGTTCTTTAGGGTTATAATCGCCAAAATTAAAAAAAAATACCAGTGATTTTAGATGTTTTATCGATTTTTGACATAGTTGCGTTCAGTGCTCCAGGTCACAAGCGTAGATTTTATTAACTTACATCATATAAACAATTTTGCAAAAAATCAGAACTATCGGATTTGCAAAATCGGAGGAGATTGCTCAAATTGGCCCAAATGTACAAAAAATATTGACATATGCGGTAATTCTTGGCGTAATTTATACTTTATTTTAAAGTCATTAGATTTTAACGTATAATATATTCATTTTAAAGAGTAAGTACTTTTAATTTTAGTGGTTTGGAAAACATACGCATAATTTTTAATGGCTATGGGTAGTGACATTCAGTTAAGGACTGATCAAGGTTGTTTACATTAAAACAAATCTATTTTGTAAAGATTGATTAAATAAAACATTTTTTTAAACTGTGGTATTAATGTCCACAACTATATTAACATTTTCACTACATGCAAATGTGCTAAGACAATTATTATAGATGATAGGCGACATCATAAAGTCTATTGCCATACATTATTCGCCAAACACATTATAAGGTGTGATACACTAAAAATCTAACATATGGTTATAATACAAACATAACAAAAATAATGAAGCTACTGAAGATATGGCTGTATAACCTAAATCTCTTAGCTTTCTTTGGTTAACGAGAGTTTAAAAATTCTCTGTAATCTGTGGCTCATTTACAATCATCATACAGTTTCTGATTTTACCCGATTTTAAAAGTTACTCTTGTGCATTAACTTTAAAAACAGGGAACTATCTGTTAATCTACATGCTCTATATACCTGAATCTAATACATAATTTCGGTACTTGGCTTGATTTCCCTAGTTTACTATATAACTTATTTGTTTTCTATTATTTCAATACTATGTATGTACCTATTTGCAAACATAACCTCAAAATCATTCAATGTATATGGTTTATAGAAGTTCTTAGGGGTGTCCGTCAATAAAATTCGTTTCTGCAGTAATTTATATATAATTTCTTTATTGGTCTTTAGGCCAAACATGTATGGAAGCTGAGCAATCTCCAACACTTTGAAAGGCCTTTTATCGGAAACTATTGGGTATATACAGAAACAATAGTAGTTTAAAATTGTAGCCTCTGCTCCAGCACGACACCAAGATATTTTAGACTGGCTACTTCAGTTATAAATGGGCATTAAGTATTGGAAGCACATATCTCTAAATCCTTAAGCCACAGTTCGTGTCGTGGACTGTTCTCAGTATTTTCTTGACGTCATTAGCCCTGCCAATCGGTTGGTACTTATGATGTGGTAAGTCAATATTTAATAACTTTTATTCTTTCCTAACCCGTTTAACAGGAATTTAAAATATCAATGAACCATAGATTGGACGGAATGACGGGGGATTAGTAGAATTAGGTGGTAAACATTGTAGATTGTGTAATTTGGTTCATTCTCAATAGATATATTGGCTAGATCCATGATGGATCCAGTGAAAACTTATATGCTCTTTGGATATATTCGCATAAAAATAATGATATAATGGATATAAGGATAACTTTGTTTATCAATAAGTTTTATTTACAACGTACCAAATCAGACTAGATCTAGGTAGTGGCGATCCCTTCGCATGTTCAAAACTAAGATTCCATTTATAAAATCACTATTAAGTAACAGGAGACCATACACAACTAAAAGGTTTTGGTCTTATTCATAACCAGATATTAAATTACTTTTTTTCCATTTTCACAACCAGAACCTTTGTGAAAATGGAGAAAAAGTCTATGGTCTTTTGGTACTTTTTCCGGAATAATTATTTTTATATGGAAAACTTACATTAAAGTTAAAACAAACCATATGCGTATCATTCCTAAATGGTAGTATATTAAACCTATAACTTTTAATGTAAGATCCCAAAACTCTATCATATACGTAAGAATCAGTCTTCAGAATGTAAAATGAGTAAAAATTTTACATGCCTGTGCCACCTGATACTTGGAAAATTGACCCACAGTACAGGTTGTATATGATCATTATACACAATAATACTACTCGAATATCCATATTTTGTCCATGAAAAAATAAGTAAGGCCTGGCGGTCTTGGGATCCTGTTCTGTTTAAATATATAAATATTATATTTAGAAAGAGAGAAAGTAGGTCAGTTACCCATACTTAAGTCCTCTGCGTACTATCCTTCTTGCTAGATCTAGCATGCTGGACAGCGCGATACACGTAAAAGCAGATGGAGATACAAGATCTTTTTACGTGTATAGCGCGGTCCTGTATGCTAAAGCCTCGATGACACAGGGCGAGTTTACTAGCTACAAGCCAGCGAGTTCGCTAGTAGCGAGTAGTAGAAGGTGAAAAGGCCTATGACACGGGGCGAGTTTACAAGCTGCTAGCAAACTCGCTGGCTTGTAGCTTGTACACTCGCCGCGTATCATCGAGTAGCAGATGGTAAAAAAGCCGATGACACGGGGCGAGTTTACAAGCTACTAGCAAACTCGCTGGCTTTTAACTTGTAAACTCGCCCCGTGTCATCGAGGCTTAAAACATGTAACGTACGTAACGCTTATATGAAGTCGGGGGGAGTTCCTAATATATAAGAATAAATAAACAGTACTTTTAACGTCAATATTGACCATGGAACGATTATCGGTTATTTACACAACCAAACATAATGCGATTGAGGTAAATTGCGTTTGTTTATGTACGTCGATGGTGCACACTCCTGGTTACGCGAATTCATGGGATATTTTGGGAAGCCGAATACGTCACGATACGTCAAACAACGCCAGCCTGTGTGGCTCCACTCCATGTCTGACGTAAGATTACGATTTATGATACGTACTAAGCATTTATAAGCGCCGTAGGGAAAAGGCGAACATCATAAGTTTATCGGATAAGTACAGCGCGACACTGCCAGTAAAAGGTGTAAACATGAACATGAAACTAAACGTTTTCGTAGTTCTAGTTCTGGGTTTAGCGATTATGGCAGATGCATTTCATGTGCATCCACATATTGTAAAGAAGTTAGACGACAGTGAAGAAATGGAGAAAATAGAAGAAGATGCCGCAAAAGACACGGATGGAATTGACATTGTAAGTATTGCTTAAATCGGTTACGAAACACCTTCTATTATGGTTTCATTTATTTAGTTTTTTTAATTTGGGAAAGCTTATTTTAAAATTAAATAGATAGGCATTGGTACTGCAGTCATTTGAATATATTAGCACTTATACTGCTACACTAATAGGCTGTTAAATTTTAAATAAGGGATAACGTAACGCTTAGTTTTTTATCCAACATAAAGTTTACTTATATAAGAAACCAATGAAAAGTCACGAAAGAATTAGCACATTGCCAGTTTCCAGTTTCAACTGAAATTAAATAGTTTATATTTTATATTAACAATTATTTTTATTTCAGGTTGACATTCAAAATGTAAAACAAAACGGACTCGTTCCTGTAAATAGCGCTCTATTCTTCAAAGTCTACGCCCCTTGTGAAGACGGCTTTGAAAGGGATGCGTTTGGTATCTGCAGGGATGTTTGGTAATTTATTTAGAAGAAAGGAATAAAGTCAATTGCCACTTAAACTTTGTGATATTTTAGGATAAGACGTTATGAATGACAATGTTCCGTGAAATAGTAGTTTTGTTAAAGTAGCCATGCGTATTCACCACGGCTTAGCCGGCTGGCGAATTTTACGATGGACTAATCCATGAGAATGATGTAATAGTATGAGAAGAACTTAGATTACAATACTATCCTGATTGCTGCAATATCTTGTAGATTTTTTTTATAGAGAAAAGTACTCGAACGCTTGCTAACTAGTTTATATTGTATTATATTTTGATTATTTCTTGACTCCTAATAAAAGTTGTGATTTCATATTATGTTAAGGGACTTTGTGATATTATATTGTAAGATTTCATGTCTAAGTAGTGATGTTAAGATTGTAATTAATTTCGCATTATTTTTGTATGAAAAATCATCACTTACGGTTACTTTCCGTTCAGTATCAGGGCTAGATACTATTTTATCTCAAAATAAATTATAATTCAATAAAAGGTTTACAGTATAATTACATTTACAAGATAAGACAAACATAAATAACGCGCATTATACAATAATTTGTAACAAAGATAATTAATTACACCGTAACTTACAATTTTCAATAAATACATTGACAATACATTTTATTGTTATCATTCCCATTAGATTATTTTTATTTTACTATTGCATTTATTATATCTACACAAATTTTGACAAAAAAAAGTGAACCTTCATTTTATAACATAATTCCGAATTAGGTATATCAAAACAGAATACAAAAGATCTTAGCATAAAGGTACATATGGATCCGATTAAATAAATTCAGTATTTTTCTCCTTTTTCCCATCCACGTACAATGATTTTTCCAATAAAAAGTGTGACGGGAAAAGAAGGAAGTAAAAAAAAAACCTTTAGAAAATATTTGCTATAACCAATGATTTAATGATTTGCGTGCATAAGGTAAACGTTTTACTGTATACGTAATGTGGCGTGCGTCACTTCGGGTGGCATTTCATATTAGCTACTATTTTGTTAACTTGACAATAGTAGAAAAAAACGGAGTCTTTCTCTATAAATCATTATGTGGATAATTTGTCGAGTTTACAAAATAGCTAATTCGAAACGACATGTGAAGTAGTAGTACATGAGTAAAGAAAGTATAGAGACGAAACTTCATGGCGTGCGAGTTTGTGAGTGTGCACTGGCGGCCAATAGAAACGTTTCTTTGCGTACGTGACAGGCGCCAGTGCTCGCTCCATAGAGATATAAGAATAGAGTGGGGAAGGTGGCTCTAAAAGTGTCCGTCTAGTAGAAAGAGAAAGAAGATGAGACCTCTAGCTATCTCTCTCTCTTGTGACGCATGGCATCCAATGGCATGACATCGAAATAGTAAAATACTTACGGTTGCCAATGCGCATGCGCGATTAGAGAGAGAAAGCTAGCGGTCTCTCATCTTCCTTCTCTTTCTATTAGAGGGACACTTCCACTTGTAGTAGAGTCTATATCTCCCCTACTCTATCCTTATACTTCTATGGCTCGCAACTGTATGGTTTTACGTTTTGTTTCTGTGCTCTCTTTATTCGTGCGGTGCTAGCGTAACGGTGGTGTCACATAAGGCATGCAGGTGGGAGAGTGACAGCGTCATGACCTGAGAGAGGAGATGGCAGAGTGGCAACGCCGCGGATCCAGGCGCTCCGTTCGCAGCAGTACGATTCCACGTTGTTGAGCGCCCGCATGTATATCGTGGTTACGCCACCTGATAAATAGATAAATATGATGGCGGCACTTTAAATGGCTATTTGTAAACTTGAAAACAGTCTCTCCCTTTCATTCCCTATAGAGTGTGGTATGGATATACTGCTATTAAAATGACAAATAGAAAATACAAATAGCCATGTGAAGTTGATTACACAAAATCACACATGTTTATCACAAATGCTTATAACAACATTCAACTTTTTCTTGGTACAATACAAAAATAGCTGCATTATTGAAAAATGTAACGCGTTACAGTAGGTAAGGTAGCCCAGCTCTTTAGGTTAAATAAGTATTTCGTACAAATGCTCGTATTCATCACACAAATATCTGCCCCCACCGTGATTCGAACCCTCTTAAGTAGGTGACACCTTGCAAGCCGGCGTACAAATCACTCGGCCACGGAGGTCATCAAAAACACACTATGCCGGCCGGCGAGCATGCAATCCCGAAATCAAGTAAAACTTAGTTAAGACGCTCTGCGGTTCTGCGGCTTTGCACTAGTTTTTGTTTTGTGGTAATGGCGGCAGTATGAACACGTGTTAGAAACCCGCCATTTTTGCTACCGTCATAGTGTGAAGAAGCCTTTTGGGGTAGGAGATAGGGTCAGGGTAGGCAAGCAATCCGTGAGTAAAACTCCTCGTCTCATCATTATCAGATTATTAATGCCCCCACTGCTGGGGCACAGGTCTCCCCTATGGATGGAATAGGGGCATTACCCACCCCGCCGGCACAGTGCGGATTCGTGGGTGCTAACGACTGCATCTGCAGCCAGGACCAACAGCTTGAAGTGCCTTCCGAAGTACGGAGGAGTTGGAGATAGTAAATTTTTGGTCACTCATCCAACGACTGATCACTGTGAAAGTTGCTCAACTTTAACGATAGCAGCCGAAAGCGCTAACCAGCTGCGCCATCGAGTTTGTCCTCGTCTAGTAGCGACTTGTACTTGCGAGCAGTATTACCTTCTATACTACAAGGTTAGTGATAAATCCAACTTTGTGTTTATAAACAACAGTGTTGAAAACATATGTTTAGTCATACAATTCACTAGAACACTTGGTTAAGAAGTCGAAAACCATTTGTCATGTATAGAGCAAATATTTTTAACAGAGGCACTTAGATTGGAAAATAAATAGTTATTTATTATACAAGAGTGGAAAGTTCCTTTTTAACCGCGTGCTCGATTTGGATGACCGAGCAAGCGAAGGATTCTAAAGTTGAATCACGAGCGCAGCGAGTGATTCTAAATTAGAATCCTGAGCGTCAGCGAGGGAAACAAACGAGCACAAGGTGAAAAATCTTTCCACTCGAGTGCAATACGTAACTTTTCATCCCACCTCAGCGAGGAAATGACAAAATGAAAAAGAAAACAATTTATAATGACAAAATATTTTTATTTCAATTAAAACACATTAAGATAATCTATAAATTGAAGAAAATAATAAGAAGTAGAAAATAATTAAGAAATATTAAATGTAACGTTGCTACAGTTACTTATGTTAAGTTTAATATTTTTGTTAGGTAATGTTATGTTGGTGTTTGTGAATTGTGCGCTGTTTTGTGGTAAACTACTCGTATCAGTAATTTTAAATAGTTGTGCCGATTCATTGGATTCTATTGGCGTAAATGTTGGCGAGAGAGGGCTATTGTTTCCAATCTTATGGGGGCTCATTTTAGATGTAGAAGGGCGAGACCAAGAATCTGACAGAGGTTCTTTCAGCGTTATGGCCTCCACGATACTATTACAAATTTTTGATTTACTTTGGATTGAATCCTCTATGTATCCCTCTACAACCGAATTAGACTTCCAGCCTCCATGGCGCTTAAGCGATAGAAGATCAGCCCCTGATTCGGCCAAAAGTGTGGCTGAGGTTCTTCTAAAACAGTGACCGGTGTATAACGGGGGTTCTAAAAGTCCGAGAAAAGTTGCTATTTCTCGTGGAATACTGCCAATTTTATTCTGACCCATAGGTTGTCGGATACACTTTCCGTTGCGATATTGTAGAAAAAATCGTTCAATTGGGGTGTTAGAAGGACGTAAAGCTTGATATTTCTGAACAATGTTTACATATTCCTTGCGAATAACGAAGTTGCGGTCTTTTTTTGTCTTGGTATTTAGTACATTAATTAATAGCAATTCATCAGAATTATGAGAATATTTTGATACGTTATTGACATTAAGTAGTGTAAGTTCATTTGTTCGACATGCTCCGGTTATACCAATAATAAGAACAACCTGTAACAAAAGAAGTATTTATAATCGTAAATAAATTAATCAAATTAAAAATATTGTAAGTACTATGTACAATTTTATCAACAACAAAAAATTACACGTATTGACTTACTTTTGCCGCTAAATATACGGAATCAGGTGCTTCATTAATAAACTTTGCAATTTCAGATGCTGTGAAAACCTTCGATTTTTTTGGTTTATAACCAGATGAGGCTCTTTTTAAAAATGCCACTAATTTATGATAGGTGTCGATATGAACGTCTTTCTTCATCTTAATTGTTAATTTTAGCATTGAATACGTACTCCATAGCGTGCTTGCTTTCTTGGTCTCAGATAATTCTATAAAATATGCCAGCAAAACGTTTTCGGAGAAAGTTTTTGCTCCTTTAGCTAGTCGCCACATGTTAAATATATCGTACTGTTTCAAATACTTCTCTCGTGATTGCTGAGGGAGAAGGCTCATTTGCGCATCATTAACTGTTTCAGTTAACTCAGTTGGCGTTAGATAAACTTCATCGTCGCTAATGTCACTCATTTTAGTTGATTTTTTTGTACAGTTTTTAGGTTATGTTAATTATATTAAGCAATAAAACGTGAAAAACTAGAATGGCGCGAAGCACGCAAATAAAACAAAGAAACCAAGAAGGTTCCAAATTTAAATTTTTTCACAATTTAAAAAGTTCTAATCATAAATTTGGCACCATAGAGGTTACATTAAATAGGTTTAATGACGTTTTGAATTTACAATTATATTGAGTACTCATTATATGTGATGTTCTAAATTCAAATCTACTTTGCCGCTCAAGCGAATAAAATAGAATTTTCCAGCCAGATTTCGAAGCGCAAAATTACACTTTCCGAGGTGGTGGGATGAAAATAATATTTTCCTCCTTTAAGCAATTTTACATCTAATGCCCACTTGCAGTAAATCTGCTTTTAACTAAAACTAGCTTTAACCAATAGAAAATTTTCAAAACATCAATGTCAATTTTGATATTATTGTATGGGCTAAATCTAGTTTTAGTTAAGTTAAGATTTAGCAAAATTGCTGCAAGTGGACCTAGGAGACAAAAAAAAATATTGAAAACTTAGGCTATATTTGGCGGCGGTTGAACTTGCGCGCAAATTAACTACCTCTCGTTAATATTTATGCTTTTATTATTGGGGAAAATCTGCAGTACATCACCTCTAATTACAGTTAAAAACTCAGCTCAATCCTACGAAGTCCACAGTGTATACATACGAAGTCAAATGCTTAAGCAAATACCTTTTATTTTAAATCAAAACAAGACCATAAACTCGTACATTTTTTATACCAATAAATTATCAATTATACCTATCTACTTTGGTTTGTTAAGTGAAATACGTTTTTATCGCTGTTGTAGAATCAATCAATTCTGTTTTATTTAAAATTACAGATAATACATACATGATATCAAATAATATAAATAATGATAACAAGGGCAATCAACGTCGGTTATATCGATCACAGATATTGGATATTCTGTTTATGTACATTTCTACACCCAGCTCATTTTATCATTCACATACGAAATATACTTGAATTCGAAGGTAGAGCTAAGGGTCGCTGCATACGGGCCACCGGCCACAACCACAAAGTAGTTTAGCCGCACACGGTTAACGCCGGTGTCCGCCACACGCTACGTCGCGAGTCCATATAAAATTTATGAAAACCTGTGATGAAAACTATAGGAAATAAGCCGGTGGCGGCGTTTTGTGGTTGTGGCCGGTGGCCCGTGTGCAGCGACACTAATAGTACCTGTATAAACATACTTTATTTTTTAACATATATTTTTCCACTATTAAAAAATACTGAATCGGTCTAAAGAGTATTTGGTTTCAAAATACAATATAAATTTTATAATTTATCTAATCTTTAGTAGAAAATTTTAATTTTAAGTATTTATGTACCTAGTTCTTTTTCATAGGAGGAAATTACTTGGAGTCTTCTCACAAAGACAACTGATTTGGCAAAGGAGCTACTGAAGAATCGAATATCGAATTTGAATAGTTTGCGAGTGCGTAGTGTTATTCTCTGCGCTGTGCTGCTCTTTCAGTTACCATGCAAAATTTAGAGAATGACATTTCGAACTCTCAAACTATTTAAACAGCAGCGCCAAAACGGACGTTACGAGAACTCAGTACACATTTGACGTACATCTAGATCGTACTCAACTATTCGAATTCGATAATGGTTCGTGCTAAGGGTACAGTATCCAGTGAAATTTTGTATGGGAATTTGAACAGCAGCGCCACAACGGACGCAACGGAAACATTTGACGTATATCTAGATCGAATTCAACTATTAAAATTCGATAATGGTTCGCGCCAAAGGTACAGTTTACTTTTGGCACATTACTTACCATCAGAAACACAACACGTGATAAGATATAATGTTATTTTACTGTGGTTTTCTTTAAGGAGTAGGTTAATTTCCCAAAGGTCTCCCAAACGTCTTTAGCTAGATCGGAAAATTTACCAAGATATGAAGAAGTACAAACCAATGATGATCAGCTGTGTGCCCAGGTAAGCTAGAGCGTGTCCATGCCGCGGGATAGACATGTCCGTCTGTGGTTTCCACTCGCGATCCTTCCAGTCCCATACGTCTATGGAACCAACACTACTCGCGGTTTTTTCCTGATTCGTAACACACAATTTCAATTAGAAAAAACTCGGTCCACGTGTTTGGTCTCTAGTGTGCCACAAAGGAACAAACATACATATATAGACTGTTAAACACTACTAGCAAACCAGTGAACCAAATGTTCACCAAAAAAAAATGTATTTAATTAATTGAGAACTTCGGAGATTTTGTGTGGTTTCGTTTGAAATAGAAATCACGTGATTTCTCGAAAACCGAAAGTGCTACGTTACTCACATCCGGTTTGTAGTCTTATCAGACTATTCTTAACTTATAACTTAAACATTCTCTATATCTATCTCTTACGGTTTGGCCGCTGAAACAGCACCACGGACGGACGGACGGACTTGTCTATTAGATAAGAGATACCCTGTCTGCGCGTCGCGCTTCGCGCTATTGCATTGCGCAGTCGGGTAAAAATACCTACAACTATGCGGAAGCACATCAATTTGTTGCAACCATTAATGGCTTTAAAATAAGGTTAAAATTCCATGATAATTTTATGTTATAATCGTAAGTCTTAAAATATCGGACACATTTCTTGTACACGGATAACAAGCGGCCGAATACTTGTTTGCCACCTAAGTGTTATTTAAATGATTTCTCATGAATCTTCACAAGTTTACCTCTAAGTTTTATTTTTACCACAAAAAGTATACCTATATATTTATTTGTTCAAAATCGGTTCAGCGGTTTAGGGGTGAAAGTCTAAAAGATAGATTTTATATTGAATTTATTATAATAATATGGATAGAATAAATCTCATTCCGTAGGTCAATGACGTCATTGACGAATTAAGATGTTGCACAGGAGACTAATATTGAAAAGTTGCCGACTGTAAATTTTTACGCATCTCTTCTAACACTGCAATGTTCTTAAACTCACTTTGTCTGAAATTTTCCCAGCTCCCCCTATAATATACAATCTGTCATTCATAGCGAATAATGTTGCGAAGCACCTCGGGAAACGCAAGCTGTGAATTTCAGTCCATCTGTAACAATTATTTCTATATTTCGCCGATTGTATTATATTTCAAGTGTTTAATTTTATAAATTGCTGATTACTTCTGACATGCAGTATTACAACCGACAGCTTCTTCTCTAGTGTGGGTTTTTTGACATAAAAATATACTTTACTAAATATACGACTTTTGATATAATTGTTATTTACGATTCTAATGGCCGTACTCAGAGACAGCAAATAAATTTCATGTACACATCTATCGGCCCACCTAGCATTTTAAGTTTTGACGGTCCCTAGCTAAAAATAAATGTTACATTGAGCAAAAAGTTATTACCTACGCAGTTTTGAAATCATTTCGTGTGTTTTTAAAAGTATTGTTCAACCATAAACATAATATTTTTGCTTCAAACACTTGAACCTTATAGCACTAAGTGAACCAATAGATTTCGCATGCTGTCTTATTCTAAATTCATCGCAAATAAAGAAACAGCGCTAATTCTAATCAGACTTGAAACTTAATTCACGTTTCTACTAGTACAACCTACAAGTGTTTTGTTCTAAAGGACTACTAACTCGTTGGTTTTGGAGTTGTAACACTCCACGATCTTGCAGACGGGTCGTTTCTTCTCGCCGGTCATACCCCCAGCGACCCAGATGTAGTCGCGGTACTTCACCGTCGCCACAGCCATACGGGCCACGCTCATGGACCGCACTTCATTCCAAGAACCAGTTTTAGGGTCGAACCGCTCCACAGACCGAAGCACCCTGGGTGGAGAATGGATTTTATTATACAGTGGTAGGCAAGAACCGAGAGCAGGGACTGACATTTAGGACATTTCATAAAGAATTAGTTGGTGAAGTATGAAAAATTGTCTTTACACCACCATGATGGAGACCTTCAGAGTTGGTCATTTTCGCACGCATTATATGGGGTTGTTAGTTATTCTTAGTTAGAAAATATTATAATATTTTTTTATATAATTTTGATGAAGTTAGCGTCATGAAAATATTACGGCACATATTTAAATTATCATAAAAAAAACAGTTGATCCTCAAAAAAAGAAATTTGGCAACCTAACCCTAACCTTTAGGTTGCCATATGTATTTTTAGGTGTTCACTATTTTATTGAGGATCATTTAAATATTTTCCAAATATTATTGGCCAAGTTTAAGGTTAATATAACTTTAAATCTAAAGAAAAGTTTACTAGAAAAAGCGAGTCCCGTTTGCTGCCTGATCCGCGTGGATTTTTTCTAGTAAAACTTTTCTTTAGATTTAAACATCTAGCAGTTAAATGCTTAAAAATAAATAAAAACAACTAAATTGCTATTTCTTCTTTCAAATATTTAATACTTGAAAAAGTATTCATTTGAAATTGTGGGCTACCTACAATGCGAAGAGATGGCGCTGCCTTGCAGCTTAAGGCCCTTTTCACATGCACACGGTCACGGCACGGCCGCCATGCCGTGCAACCGTGCTAGCTCTTTCACATGTATACGGCTTACACACACACGGTCGCCGGCTATGGATGTTCCAGTATTATCGAGAATTTTGGGGAACGACGACGTCTTTTATCATGGAACAAAAAAAGATTCTTTTCATTATCATCTAATTCTTCGAAACTACTATTTAATCCTATACATACTTCTTTCCACGCTTCTTTTGTCTCGTTCCTGTTTTTATAAGACGCGATGGTTTTATCCCATAAAGTAGGACGCGCTTCAATTAGCGACATCAACACATCAACATCGATTTCGACAGACATTCTGTAACAATCGTCCGTCCGTTCCCCTATGACTTTAGCTGACGAATGGTATTTGCGCTCGCCGTGCCGTACCGCGCCCGTGTTCATGTGAACGTGTCTATACAAGTCCATACAAGACTATAAAGACGGTTGCCGCGTCAAAACCGTGCTTATAGTGGATAAGGACGGCTGACACGCGATCACGGCACGGTCGCCGTGCAATGTGAAAGCTCTCATTGTTGCTCATACATTACTATTTTACACGGCACGGCAACCGTGCCGTGTCCGTGTACATGTGAAAAGGCACTAAGGCTAGGAAAATTTCGACACGGCCATCGGGGCCGTGGTAGCATAATTGGTCAGTGCATTCGCCCGGATTGCGAAGGGTGCGGGTTCAAGTCCCGTCCGCTGCCTGGTCCGCGTGGTTTTTTTTCTAGTAAAACTTTTCTTTAGATTTAAACATCTATCAGTTAAATGCTTAAAATATAATATAATGCTTAAAATATAAATAAAAACAACATTATTATAACTTGCTATTTTATTGTAATTTCATTACCTGCCTTTCTTATCCTGCCCACCGATGGCGTACAGCGCCATACGATGCACAACCAACCCAAAATTCTTCCTGGGGACTGTTAAACCATTCTCACTGTACCTGAGAACATTATAGCTTTAAATATCAGAATATATTTAGAGGGCATCTCGAAAGAAGAACTTGATGTCTTCGATTAAATTTGATTTTGACATTAAAGATGTGATAATAGCATTAAAGCAATTGAACAATAAACATATAGTAACCAAGAGCGTGTCACTGGCTCGTAGCTCCAAACGGTGGAGACCACTACTGACTTTCCTCTTATATCGTCATCGCGAGGGTCTGCGCCACCTGTTATCACCAGGGTTAACTGAGAAAAGAACCTTTTTAAATGTTCGAATATCGACACAAATTCCTTAACATATGAATTTGTTATGTTGTAGTTGTAGGTAAAGAAACTGCTGGTAAGTGATTGGTGTGCGTGAAAACAAATAAATAATTAAGCTGGTGTGTTAAGTCCTCATAAAAAAAATAAGTAATTGATATCAATTAGCCTGAATATCAGGAGGATTAAAAAAATTGACAAATTTTAAGTGGTTATTAAGTTATTTACCGACGAGATAAACCCTGCCTCGCAAGAAAGCAACTGAATGATGATGTCTGGGCTCGGGAAGGTCCCCAACGTTCTCCCAAACATTCGTCACGGGATCGTACCTAGGAAAATTAAAGGGCTAATTTTTATATAAAAAAATCATTAAGTATATTTACTTAGTACCTATGTAACATTTTAGTGTTTGCATCGAATTAAAAAAATGAATTATCTATTCCACTGTGTAAATCCCTAGTGCATTCACAATAATTCCAAGCATAACTGATTTTTAAGGTCTCTTTGTTTCTATGGCTTACGAGGAAAGTGAAAAAAGGTTGATATGATCAGTCTTTGCAATAAATGATTTATGCAAAAAGCTATTTCAAATAATATGTATTACCTATATATATCTTTTCCCGTGTTTCGGCCAAGTCCGTAATTGGTGTGAGGGTCTATTCCTCCGAAGACAAGAACTGTTTCCTTGTCCCAATTGAAGAGTGAGCCATCTGCTATATAATTCTTGTTAGATGGGCCGAGAATCGACGTGGAAAGTTTGTTCCTGTAAAAGTTACCTTAAATATGTGGAAATATTTTAGTTCTTAAATTAGAGGTAAACCTTTCCGTGTTGGACTAGGGGAAAAATAAAAAGTTGACTGGTTTAGTTCCTATGAATGCTAAATGTTGAGGTGCTTTAACTATAGAAAAGATTTTTATATTAGAGCATGCATTTGCATCATAGTCATGATGTTTTTAAGTCCATTAATCCGTTAGAATATATTATATGAAGTTTTACTGTTACATATCACAAGCTGTAGAACTTGAACTTGTTAGAATAAAATTATAGCATGACTGACACGTAACAAAACCCGCGCATACAGTCTGTGCGGAAACAGAATGGGATTTAGATTGGAGGGCGCTGTATTTGTAAGGTTTTACCCCTTTTCGACATAATTAAATACAAAAAACCGCAAGAAATCACAACAACAAACAAATCCGTACCAATACAAATCTTTGACATTTTACAGATTGCTGGGATTGCTAGGCAATCAATGCCTAATAAAAATCTTAATGTTAGTTCCGTTTTTCGCCACGCTCATTCTCCTTCCGCACAGACTCTAGAAGATTTTTTTTGTTACACTTGCTCGTTATCCCCAGTACTAGTGCCAATGGAATTCGAGTAAACGACTAAGTGTAAATGAATAGAGTCGAGTACGCCCCGAAAACAATCCGAATACGCGTATTCGGGTAGTTTCCGTTTTGGTTACACGACACCGATTCTAGCCCGTAAATATTGCTTCGGTTGCCCGAATTCGAGTAATATCTTTCGTGTACCCGAATACGAGCTAACGACCAAATGTAATTTAGCCAATCCTATTAACACTGATGACGAACCCCACGGAGAAGCGCTATATGCACCGGTTTTCCAGGTGTCATCTACTCAGAGGTCCGGGGTTCGAATCCCAGAGAGCAAATTTTTTATGATGAACAAGGGCATTAAGGTAATAATTGTTTATAAATATTACTAACTAAAATAGACTTATATTTGTATCATATTATACTAGCGGCCACTCGCGACTTCGTACGCGTTAGCTTTAGTTCTTGAAGATACCACAGGAACCTAAAATTTTTTTAGAATAAAAAGTATCCTTTGTCTCAATCAAGGTCATAAAAACAATTTTGTGTGGGTTTGAGTGAATGAGTAACAAACATTCAAATACACAAACATACAAACTTTCACACTTATATTAGTAGGAAACTCTAGTGGGTAACGGATAGAATTTGGGTTGGGATAAGGCAAATTAGTGCGAATCACTAACATATTGATCTTGGCGAGAGATTCTTTGGAGTGGTTGAACAGGGAGAACTGTGGGCTAGCGCAGTTGTTCGGTGAGGTTAGTTGCGGCTGAGGTGGAGAGACAGAGGCGCGTGGGGCGCCTTCCGGGCGTGACGCGGGCTCTGAGGCTCTGCGTGCATCGCCTGCTGTAGTAGGCGAGTTATGGGATGTTCTGGAAGGAAAGATACAATTTTATGAATAAAAGAAGAACTAAGAACTGCCTTAGCCAGTTGATTTGAACTGAGTAGAACATGTGCTTATTCATTTACCCCCTTAATAATAAACGAGGAATAGAAAAGTCTAGACTAGTTACGTCGTGTTTTGTTCATATCACTCCAGTGTTCATTGGAACAGAGACAAAACAGAGTAACTAATACAAGCTTAGTCTCGTGTTAATTAATAAGGAGGTTAGAGCTTACTAACAGCAGTAACAACTACACCGTACACACATGTCACAGGTTTTTTATGTAAAACGGTGGTAAGCTAGGTGAACCTTCTGATGGTAATTAATGTTCGTCCGTCACTCAATGGTCTACTTACATATTTTGCCTATTGTTACTTCGTCTTTTATTACCTTCTGTTACCAGCAAGCACTGCAGTTGCAGCAGCTAGGTAGGAAGCAGCTACGCTGTGCCTTTTTTCATTCTTCTTTGTCATGCAATACTGGTCTAGCGACGTATTCTAAAATCAAAACATAAGGGTGAACCAATCAACATTCAGCTATGCTGCGCTGTGCTGGGCTGTGCTCTATTTAGTCAACTTGCTTTTTTAGATTAAAAGAAAACGAACAAACAAACGTGTAGCTTTTTGCTATGTGTTGCTGTGGTTTTTTCTAAAATATGGCTGCTGGAAGAATAGTTTTTGACAGGTCGTGGTTAAAGCAATGTAGGTACACTTTGGCTGTAGTAAAATAAGATATCCAAAACAAAACCTGTGTTTTTAAGTTTTTAAGTGTCATTAAACCTACTTTAAGCTGTTACTTTATTTGCAATAGAATGTTACATGTTACAAGACGATGTCACTACGAAAAAAATAGCGGATTCAAGGGTGAATACTAGCAACAATTTTTTTAACGCCGTTCACATATTTGTATTACACAAATATGATACATTGCTATTTTTAAAGTGTAAATGGTATGGTGCCTATAATTAAAGATATTTGCACTGGTAGTACCTACTATGAACTTTAAGATGATAATATTTGAGATAATAGTAAAATTTTAATTTGGAGCTCTATCCCTATCGACTGTACTGCGTTAATATTGTTACATACCCGTTCCACGTTGCTTTCGGTAGTAACAGTGCTACACTCACTGTTGGTAGTCATCAAATCGTCACCAGAGTCTTTTTCAGGAGGATCGAAGATTTGTCTCTACGATAAAAATTGCTTAATAAAAAAATAGTTAAGAAAATAGATCTGGATAGAGGATATATACAGTTTAATGATACAACCAAATTTTCTCATTCGCAGGAGTATCGGGTTATGGTTCGAGCCCCACTGGGTTCATCATATCATTGCTTTATATCTGCCAAGGTGCCACAGGCACCCAGGTCTCAACCATTCGTAATCAAACGCAGGGTCTGTCACTATGGGTCGGCAGATTCGAGATCGGCGGGATGGTATGCGCGACTACTTAGCGTCCGTCCCTTGGAAGCAGCGCTTCTTCAGTGAAAAGGACCTATCGGCCAGCACCGTTTCTATTACTGAGGAGATCGTAATGGGAATGGAGTATTACATTTTACATTCTGATCTCATCAGTAAGGGCACGCGTAACGACTGGTTCAATCGCGACTGTGCTGATGCTGTTTTAAGTAAGCAGCGGCATATTGCGCTTGGACGAGAGGCCACGCTCTCAAGGATCCCAGGGTTAGCTCACTGAAAGCTGCCTATAATAGTACTTCCAAGTCTTGCAAGAAAGCTTACATCAGAGCGGATGCCCAACGTGTTGCACGTACTGGCCACGAATTGTTAACGTACCCTACGGGCTCCCGTATTTTTTGGGGTTTAGATAAGGCCGTGCAGCACAACTTCTGCCATCGCTCGCTGCCAAATCTGTAATGTCCAGATGGGTCACTAGCTCATAAGCCGCAGGAAAAAGGCGATTTATTGGCAAAGCTCTTTGCGACTAACTCCCGAATCGATGATTGCAATGCATTGCCACATTACCTCATTGTGGCACTACGATGCCTGATATTAAAATCAGGCAGCTTGAAGCTCGTGTGGAGTTGCAATCACTCGACGTCCGGAAAGCTAGTGGACCCGATGGCATCTCAACAGTTGTACTGAAACATTGTGCAGCGGGAGCCATCCCGTGCTTACGCGCTTGTACAACTCTGGTACTCTTAGGGGCGTGTACCGGAGACTTGGAGGGATACCAATGTGCAACCAGGGCCCAAATAAGGGGTTGGATAGGTTGTAGCGGCGCGCTGCCCGCATCATTGGCGATGACTAACAAACTCGAGTCTCTTCAATTACGCCGCGATGTGGCATCATTAAGCACATTCAACCGATTATACTCCGGCGAGTGGTTTGGGGACTTATTCTCCCTTATCCTTCCATCACCTTTTCTTCAGAGGACCACGCACGCTGGCCTAAGCTGTCACCGACTTACTGTGGCCACTATTCCTACATGAAGAAAGATATTTGGTGACTCATTTATTTGATGTGCTATTCGCAAGTGGAATTCTTTGCCCGGCCCTTCCTTCATCTGGGGTCTTTGGAGGGGTAGATAAAAGATTATGTAGGTATATGAAAACAATTATTTCATGCAAAGGAAGTACATAGAAGTAAGCTAAGCTAGTTTATTTAATTATATAAGTTTCGTTAAAGTAGAAGCTATCACTATCTTTGAATAGTATACCATGATGACAGCATGTGATTTTGGCAAGCATTAAATATAATATAATTGATGGTCAGGTTACCATGGGATTGGTATTGTCAATTTGGGTCAAGTCCATTAAAAAACAAAACTATTGATGAAAAGATGTTTTGGGGGGCAGCCATAGGTGAATCAACAGTATTAGCAACACGATAAATTTCGGTTTAGGCTGTAAGGGATTACACCTATGCTTGACCTTATTTGACAATTACACGTCAAAAACAAAAAACTACAAAAAATAAAAGAAAAATAAATACATGATCGTGATGCACCGTACACATGTGAACCTCCTGTATTCTGTTAATACGATTAATTGGATGGGATTGTTCCTTCTGTTGGTTAACCCTAAATTTACGTTGCTCCTAAAAAATAATGGTAAATTAAACAAAACTGTCCGTTTAATTATTTTTTCTGCTTACTTTTTTTTCTTGTTGAAATTACGTATACTGTTACGTCTTAATCCAACTAAATATGGTTAAATTATTTAGAATTTATTTTACACTTTACTTTGGCGAAAAACACCTTCAAACTTTTATTAAAACTATTTAAATAATTCATGTGAAAATATTTGAATGGGAAATTTATATTCAAAAATGCAGAGCATCAAGTGATATTTGCATATACCTACAATACATATTTCCATTAAGAGACAAAAATGTATGGACAGTTACTTCAAGTATGCTCTGAGGCTTTTTAAATGTTGGGCTTCTAGAAGACATTGGCTGCTGAGGGTCTCCATCTACAGGTGGCGAACGAAGCGATGACGGCGACAGTAGTCCATCTTGAGCCTGCAAGTTTATAAAAAACTTATCTTTAGATGAAAAATTGTTATGACGTATTCACTAACTTGATAATTATTTATTAAGTGAACCTGCAAATCTCGAGAGACTATTCGAAACATTATTTCCTTTTTGTACAATCTGTTACTCAATGACACGGGGCGAGTTTACAAGCTGCTAGCGAACTCGCTTGTTTGTAGTTTGTAAACTCGCCCCGTGTCATCGAGGCTAAAGTATCAAGTCGTTACATGCTCAAAGAAAAAAATAAATTGCTCGTACTTTTGATACTTGGAAGTATCTCATTCACATTCTAGTTGGTCTCGTTCGTTAAGGTCTTGGTATCATACTGAAAGGTCATTGAATTCGCCAAGATTGCCAAGCGTGTTCAGTCGATTTAAGCCTGATGCGTGTACCGAGGACCGAGCTAAAAAAATCTTGTAAGAAATTACTTCAAATATAAAACTTCTATATTTGTATGTTTAGAATAACTGCGAGGAAACAAACACCTTGATAAATTATATCTACGCACTGCACCGCATGCGGCATTTGCAGTGTAGATGTATTTTTTTTAATTAACTGTGCTTTAATTGTTTTTTTTCCCAAATTTTAAACTGTCATATATGGGGTGTATACAAACTTCTTGGTCAACGACCATATAAAAGGAATTTTGTATACAAAAACCTCTACTACGCAATTTTATTTGTCTGTGTTTTTGCTCAAGATGTTTACCGCTACCACTAGATAGTTTTCAAGAAATATGGAAACGCAGTAAACAGTCATTAATACTAACTTTTTTTCTGCTATCGATAAACTCGCTCATTGTTGGGAACTTTTCCTTGTCGCCCGTTAATCCTTTTAAAGTGAACGGCAAAGGAAAGTCCATTTTCGGCCTTCGCATTTCCATCATGTCATTATCGGCTCCCCGCAAACCGGCTGTAGATATTAAGATCGTATGAATTGTATTTGTCACACGCAAAGGCGCTTTTCAAATGACTAAGTTTAATAAAATCTCCTTATAGTTTTGCCGTGTCCCTCTGTCCGTCCCCGGTTTTGCTTGGAGACTGTTAGCACTAGAGAGCTTTAATTGTGTGGATATATGTATATCAATCACGCCGACAAAATGGTAGAGTAAAATTCTGAAAAATATTTTTTTAGGGTACATGTAACCGGGCGATGACTTTTTTTCGTCGTTCTTTCGTCCCCTATCGTGTGGGATATCGTTTAATAGCATAATAGAATAGTAGTCTTAAAAATACTTCAAACCCTGTTTCTAAGACTATTTTTCGATTTAAGGATCCGTTTGAGAAATATTAAACTTTAAAGCGATAATTTTTGTTAGAGTAGGGCGCCCCCCTCTAAAAGCTAAACTATTGGCTTGAAAAATCTGGAAAAATTCAGGAAAAATATAACGGTTCAGATAGATTTGTTACTTAAAGAGTAATTAATAGTCGTTCAACTTTCATAAAGAAAATTTCTTAGAAGAAAATATAATAGAAGAAGTTACTGTTGTAAAATCTTGGATTAAAAATCAAAATCTAAAAATCAATTTAAAACCGTTTAGTTTTTTAATTTCCGATACAGAAAATATAGGTTCCTGCTCAAATATATTGTGGTAACGACGAGCTATATGGTCGTTTTTTTTTTTATTTTATTATCATATTGTACTGATGACTGGTATATAACAATTAAAATTAACTAAAATTCACATTGTAGCCTCTACAAATCATCTTCGGCTGGTACTCGTAGCTACTATTTGTAACAGTCAGGAGGTTTATGTTAATCAAAGGTGGAAAAGAGAGAAAAGTATAAGAGAGGAAAAGGTGGGTAGAAAACTGAAACATAAAGCAACACACACATACAGACAAGTTTGCATTATTAAACTATTACTATAGTAATTTCGTATAATGTATACAGATAGTTTAAGGTATAATCAAATATTAAGTTAAACTTTTTGTTTATACTAACTACATAGTTGTACAATACACTGGTTTGCCTAAGTTTAGATCTTATACATTTTAGCTAATTTTCTCATTTCATTATTTGTACTGATGCCTGGTGTTTATTGTTTAGCTGGTCTACCATATCAGAAAGTTATGATATGAGAAAAGTGGTAATCCCTCTAACATTAGAGAAAATTTCCTTTTGATTCTTTCACTACAAAAGATACTTGACTTTACTATAGACCAGAAAAAAAATCGTTTCCGTTTGCAAACTTTTTTACTACCAAAGACACGTTTAAGATAAATGTTACCAGGAATATCATCGTTTCTACGAGGCGGCTGCATCATGGACATTTGTTGATACATCTGTTCCTTCGGTACCATGAACTGCTCTAGATATTTGAGGAAATCCTTGTATGTTACGTGATTCTGAAATTTAATATTATGCAGCAATAAATTATTAATAAAAGGCGGACTTCACGCTAAAAACATTCTCTTCTAGTAAAATAGGGACGAAAGTAAGCAAAATTTTATTTAGTCCGTCAATTAAATTATAGAAAAATAATGATCAGTTATAATTCTTTTGTCAATCAACCTAAAAAATTACAAAGCAAAAGCTGGCACTTTTTGGTAAAAAAATTGTGAAAATGTGACATCACGCGACATTTCCTCTGTAATGTTAAGAATATGCGGAAAAAAGAAAATGTGAAGTGTGTGTGTGAATGTGTGATGATATTTTTTGATAACATAACAGCTGATAGACGACGAAAAAAAGTAAGTCATCATCCCTATTATATCGGGTCTAACGTATTGTCCACGTTACGATTATCTTCACGTCTACTTCACCATCACTTAACATCAGGTGGGGTGGAGTCATTTGTCGGACCTATCCATAAAAAAAAGTTAATTAGGTATATTATGCAACGAAACAAAAGAATCATGCTCACCTTCTCCTCGCCAATCCAGTTTCTCTCAGCAGGCTCCGTGAGACCAAGTACATCTATCCAGTGGTAGTAGTTCTTCGAGTTGTTTCCATACCAATATTTGATAATAACATAGCTGTAGAGGAATAAAATTAGTTTGTCACTTTATTCGAATTCTTATTTCTTATTCCCATAGTCTATCTCAGTAAGTTAATACAAAAGTATCTGATATTCATTGAAACCTTTTTTGTAATACATAGTTATACATTCCAAAGTGAAAAATCCTCACTAGTATCAAAAAATGAAATGCCATACCAGTAACGAAAAAGTTTATTTGGGTTTTGTATAGTCATTGGTATGGATCTTATTAATACGAAAAAAATATCTTTTTTGTCACAGGTGTGCTGATGTCCTTTGCTTAGCGTCTTACTCTATGGAACTCACGCTAGACCATCGTCGACCATTTGCTGCACCTCCGATTCGTTGACAATCTCCAATATCTCGCCGTTGTCTGGGTTCCGCTTGATGTCGACCAGCTGCCACGGCGAAATGAGGCCGAAGCGCACACACCTCATCACCTCCACCGCAAGCTGCTGGCGGTTCGACCAGTCTGCGTACAGCCAGCGCACGCCAGCCATGAGGACTTCTATTTCGCTAAGAGTTCAAATAAATAGAGATAAGGTGGTGTAAGAGCTACCAAGTATCGAGGAGCTTGACAGCGCATGTGGTTAACGTATTTGCTTGCGATCGTTGAAGTTAAGCAACATTCGCAGTGGTCGGTCATGGATGGGTAGCCAAAAATTTACTATCTCCAGCTCTTGGAGGTAGAGAGGGCCGAAGGAACCTTTAGACCTTACCTCACAAATACTGCGGAACGTTGAACTAACCTGACCTGGAGTCACATAACGTGACTCGTGACATGACTTCACACTTTTTCGTGTATGAAGCCGGTGTTCATCGATTTATAAGACGTTATTACCCCAAAAATAAAAAATATTATAAATTACATTTGTTTGTTCTTCAACAAAATTGATATACCTACGTGGATCAAGCAATGAAGGACTTTTTCGAATGCAAGTAATATAGTCAAGTATATTGATTAATTTCCTTTTCAATAGACTTAAGTTAAATAATGCTTATAATTTTAAATTTCTTTATTCCTATTAGGGTATAAGTTTACGTAAGTAATAAGAGTACTGTACCCTTAGCGCGAACCAATATCGAATTCGTTACGTTTGCGATTCCGAAATGTCACTGTATACTGATTTTTAGTTCTCGTTACGTACTTTGTGGCGCTGCTATTCAAATTTCCATACAAAATTTGACATTGACATTTCGCACTCGCAAACTCTTCGAATTCGATATTGGTTCGTGCTAAGGGTACTGTTTCCTTTTACGTTCATATGATATAATTATACTACATATGATTTTTTGTACTTTTGCAAGTGATAAAAATCACAATACCTTGTCACACAAATATAATTTGATTTGAGGATGGTCAAAATTTCTTCTGGTTCGAGTTCAAGGAAATCTTTCGATGCAACTAAAGGCAGGAAGAAACGCATAATTCGAGGAACCTGAAATAAATGTGTGCCAGTCAATTACTAACTACTCAACAAATATACTTTGGTGTGATTGCCGTTACAATACGTGACTAGGAAACTAGTAAAGATATTTACTACCAAAAAAAATCAAATCCTTCCTAGTTTGATTCTTGCGGCCTAGTTTTAAAGGTATCTAGTAAAAATCTATCAGTTTCATGAACACCTTATTAAAAAAAGCAAGCTAACTTACAGCTTCAATTCAACATTTCATATTTTTAAATTTACGGAGTTTAGTACTTACATTGTTCTTTATGAAACGTAATGAAGCGTATATATAGAAAAAATGTTATTCTTTATGGTAAGATCTCTAATTATGAGTTTCATTAAATGTCATCACGGAAATTGTAAACAGTACAAGCATAGAATGTTGTGTTTCTAAATGTTGAAAAAAATATACTTGCCATAAGGTCAACAACAGGCGACATTCTCCTTAGTCTTGCTTCTCTATACAGTGCGAAGGCTGTGTCCTCATTGAAAAGATTTTCATTTACAATAAACGACCAGCACTGGTTTTCCAAATCTGTGTTACATTTTTTACGGCTACAATTACCTACTTGCTATTATTATTATTGTTAAATTTACCACTAGTTGTTCCCGCGTACTTCGTACGGGTTAAAATAATTTGGAAGAAATGACGGATCCGAGTCTACCGTACCAAGAGGGACCAACGTCAAATGTTTGATAGGAAATCAGAACAGTTTATATGGGAAAATTAAATTGACGTTTTTACTATGTCCCTCGCAATTTCAAGACCAAGATAAGATAAATCCGTTCAGCCGTTCGAGTTTTAGTGAGACTAACGAACAGCAATTTGGTTGATTTTTATTTAAATATAGATTCATATTTTAATTAACTTTACCTTTGATCGATAAGAATTGAGCGGCACAGAAAAGATCTAATATATTATCCTTCCTCAATATTTTACTGCTCTCTTGTCCACTAAAGATCATCCATTCGTATATTGATTGGAATACTTCGCATGAAACATCGCTCTTTAAGAAAACGAATTTTAAATTAATAGAAAATATTAAAATTATTCTCTAAAAGTTGCTAGGCATAAATACATAGCACAAAATATAATTGTCAATGTTAAGGTTTTGTTTTAACACTCTTTTAAGTGTACACACAGACTACAGAGCAACTTTAGAATCTGTTATTGGCATTTTGTTCGGCACCCACGCTTGACATCAAGTAGAGAAACCTTGTGCGTTAAGAATCTAACAGTTACCCTAGGCGAGGGAAATTAAATTTAATGCATGTTAAAAGTAAAGTTCGAAAATAGTACATTTAATCAAACATAAGAATAAATAATGTTTGAGCGAAGGGTTAAAACATAGATAATTTATAAAAATATATGTCAAACATACACTGCTCATGCAATACAATAACAATGACAATAAGTATTTTATTAATTTACCTTTTTTAATCAAATTCTCTCATTCTACAATTCAAACATAATTTGTATAAATTATTGTTTGGATTTTATTACCTACAGATAGGTTATGTTAAAATGTTCTTACAATTGAAAGTTCAATTTCTCTGTGCGGATTCATGTCAAAGAAGTTCGAATACACTTGGAGTACAATGCTGTGACAGTGAAATTCTTCGTTGCCGATATGAATCACTGTGTCTGTATTTCTGAAAATAGTTCATTTACTTAAAGTTCTATGAATAATTAAATTTAAAGGTTTTAGATTTATTTTCTAAATAGAAGTAGTCAAAAATAGTTTACATTATATATAATTATAAAATATTAAGTTAATGATAAAATATTTTACACTATATAAACTATGACGTACTCTGCTCCTTACATGTGATTGTGAATTCGTCTATAAAACTCTTGAAACAAATCTTGCTTTTTAGGTAACTGTACATGCATCCAATCAACAGCTTCGGCTAAAGCGTAACCTAGGCTCCCCAACTCTTTACCTTTATCTTCTCTTACAGACCTATGTTTTTCTTTTATATTTCGATCGTTATTATTTTCGACTTGATTATTATTACTGTGTTCTCTGTGATTGAATTGTAATTGGGGCTCAGATTCACTCCCTACATCCTACAATGCACACTCTCTAATGTTAGTAACATTATTAGGTTAATAAATTACCATTTTGAGTAAAAAAAATTGCTAACATAAGATGTTACTGGATCCTCCGGTTCACCGGCAGCTTTACCAATAAACTTAACTTTGAGTTTCGCTTGAGTAGGATCTGCTAATAGGACTCCAACAGTCGATGATTGAAATACTACCTAAGAAAATTTTATTTTAACAAACTGCTATGGGTATGCATTACTCGTCCGAAAATGAAAAATAATGAAGTTCATATACCTGATTTGATTGAACTTTCAAATTACCACTTGGTGTAGGTTTAAAGGGAAATGCTGCACCCTTTTGAGTATTGTTTGGATCTATGCTGCATTCACTGTAAAACAACATTCTTTATTCTACTTAATATTATAAGTGTTTATATGTTTATTACTCAATCACGCACATACACATATAGTTTATGACTTAGAATGGGATACTTTTTATCCCGGAAAAATCTGTGGTTCCTGAAGGATTCTACAAAAACTAAATATAACGCGGATGAACCTTCGAGCTCACGCTTAACGCAGAGCAGACCCTACCACCGCTGCACCCGTGTGCAACGCACACCCCTTTACCAGATACTTACCAGTGACTTAAATACTTGCCTCGAATCTTCGATACCGGAGGATTGGTTCAACTCCTGGCCGTTTCTGTTGCAGGGGCAGTTTTCAGTATACTTTTTCGAGTAAGTCGTGTCGGGCGACATTTCCGGCTTCCTCTTGATTTTCCTAATTATTAAAACGGCATTTCACACTCTATGGCTTGCGGGGTTGGCAAAACATCACCAGAGATGTATACATATTCTCAAAGACATGCATCAATGACGCCTGTTTCATTTACCCCTACAACTATTACTGTACTGTACGTTAGTACAGTACAGTAATAGTAACAGTATAATAAATACTGTTAAGGATAAATTAATTTCTAAGTTTATGTATCCTGGACTGGACCGAGTGTTTTTTATTCTAGTAAAATTTTCTTTATATTTGTGTGTATTCTACTGGTTTTCTTTTGTCAAGAAAACTTTTACAAAATTCCTGTCAATCTTATGGTTATATTGCTCTGGTTATAACCAGACAATATCATATCATTCCTGTAACAAAGCCTAGTGTCTTTGAAAACAGCTTAATTCCTTTCAACGTAAGTACTGGTAATGAAACACCATTTCTACCAAAATTATAACAAACGTGGCTTTTAATTGCTTGCTGAATAATTCTCATTTTGTGAAAAGTGACTAAACCATACTGTTTTAGTCAACAGTTTTTTTAGTTACATGTGATGTGAGCGTATTTTACATACAGGGCGAGGCTTAGTTGTAACCGGATTTAAGTACTTTGTTGTTCGCAAAGTTCCATCTTACGTTTTTATTTGATCAGAGATTGGACTACAATAAAGAACATTTTACAAGAAAAAAAACATCTCTGCGTATGTTTGGATTCGAACCAGCGTCATTCATATACACAGATAAAAAAATATGTCAAAAATACTCACTTCCCTTTTAAATTCCACGACATGTATTGGTCAATTTCAGTGTTATTATTTGTATGAACTTTTACTGAAGAATCTCCAGAACTACCATAAACTGCGTGCTTGTCAATACAACGAGGCCAAACCCTGGTGGTTTGTTTATAAAGATCTAAAGCTGTAATGTGAAATAAACAAGCAAAAATATAGCAGTCAGTCGTTAGTAATCATAGCCGTCACGATATGACAAAAACTTTTACGCAAGTACCCAACTTATTACGGATTTTAAGCGTTTGTTGTACATAAGAAATTGGGAGGAATTTTAACGGAATAGGTACAATGTTCTCAAAACAAGTTGATACAGTCATTTGACAGCGTTCAAGTTAAATAATCACTTACTAAAATTGTTTGTCTGCGCTGTAAGATCAGTGAGGGAACTGCTCTTATGTATTTTTGGTTTGATGGTAATACAGTAGTGTTCAAATATATCCGCAACACGTTTATGCCTCTTCTTCGGCAATGAGCAGTTTCTAAAATACAATGAAAACATTTAGAATTGAGTGATTATTATGAGGAGCACCATCGATGTTAGCATGTTCGATCTGCGATCATAAAAGTTAAGCAAATTTCGTAATGACCGGTCATTGGTTGGGTGATCAATAAGTTTTCAATTCGAGCTCCTTCGTGCTCCGGAAGGGCAGTTTAAGCCGTTGGTCCCGGCTGCATTTGCAGTGGCTAGCATCTATTGATCGCTAGTATCAACAGCAGTGGGGAAATTAATATGTTGGAATATGATGATTATTATTTATAATGACCGTTTTAATGGATCAGGATTAATGGTTCAACAAGATTATAATTAAGAAAAGAATATTTAAAACATTGTCGATTTAGTTAAATATTTTGCCTTTTTAGTAGTCTCATATTTGTTGTTCGACGAAGTTTGTATAAATTATAAGTATGACCGTTAATATGAATCCTGCTCATTGATGACAAAAGATATTAACCGTTGTTTGACCTAGGAAATCTTAAAAGACTTACTCGGGTAAGTTTTGTCCAGCGTATCTTGCATTTGACACCAATTCGAAACCATTTATCTGTAAAAGAAATCTTTCAAATCATAGATCGAAGAAAATTCATTTTGATATAAAGTAATTTTTTAAATCGAAAATGGTGGCAAAAAAGCCTGATGCCTGTCTGATAATAAGCGGCCACCGTTTTTTGTACCATCACACCCACCCCCTACACCATGAAGCTTTTTCCCGTGAAGCCTAGAAGCCTCTCTGAAGCCAAGTCGTAAATGAAAACATGTAATTAAATTACAATGAACTGTTGTTTAGGTAATTTGCTTTTATATTGTTAGGTAAGTGGGATTCAAATAGCTTATTTTCTTATCACAGGATTTTCTATTTTCAGGATTTCACTGATACAGAACATCACGTGGAGAGGGATACTTTTCTGCACCTTGTCATAAAAAGAACTTTGTTTTGAATAGATTAAAGATATTTGTTTCTTAGGTTTTCACGCACATCACTCATAATACACAAATAAAACTAGTTTTTTACGGGTTAATGCACGAAACTTTATTTATTTATTGACGTTTCTTTAGATTAAAGAGTTAATAGTTTGACTTTGAAGGCAAGTCTCCACTCGAAGTTAAAGGAATAGTCGAATTGTCGCATCGAGCGCAGTGTGCACGACTGCTATGTTGGTGTAATAATTACCTACTCACTTAAGCAAGGTGCGTAATCTTCTTTTCTTTAAACAACCATCAACACCCAAAAATAGTGCATTAATGAAAACAGTGCAATAATGAGATTTCATATAACATTTGTTTTCTTATCCTTAGACCCTATCAATGCCAATGCAGCGTGCTCTAATCATGTTCAATAAACATAAGTATATATAATATATATAATAATGCTTTATAGAGTATCTTCATTTATCGTTTTGTTCTATCCTGATATTGCTACTATAATCTCTCTACAACTTTGATGTGAAGCTAGCATGTTTACCTTTTCCAAACTGGCGCTTTTTTTCATTTCAAATTCGTTGAATGAATACTGAAGGAATGTGATCCATATTGCATATAATATTTCTTTTAAGGTTAAAAGAAACGCCCAAATCTCTTTGAAAATTTTTGTCAGCTAATGTTTTGTCTTCTAATGAATCTGACACTGCAATGAAAACTATCACTGTCTGTCAAAGTTTTGATTTTCACTGCGACAAGAAAAAGTTTTTGTTGTTATAAAAGGAGCATAGAGCAAAAAGTTCAAATTTGGTTAGGTAGCTACTCAAATTAGGTCAATGGTAGGTAATATGGTTAGGTATCTTATCTACCGATCTTTCAAGGAACTTATATTCTGTTCCTTGGTATCTACTTGGAAACTTCGTGAGTGGTTTCCATTTGGCGAGTCTGCCGAACGCAGTTTTTATTACCATGATCGAAATATGGATAGGGACATTCTAGCACGTGCGACATATTACGATCATGCTCATTAGAAAAAGCAGCTGTTTTGAAAATAGTCGTACTTTGAAGGGCGGGCGTATATTCGCTAAATGAAAGCTATGCACGAAGTCGGAACTGTGTATAAAATAATTTAGTTGATTTATTTATAAACCTAATATTATTATCTGTAATTTGTATCCTAAAAATGTAAACTCTTTAGAATGATAAGGAAAAAGGTTTCAAAGTTCCAATCAATGTTTCGGACTGAGTTATTATATTATAATTACTGCTAAATAGACCATTAATAAAAGATAAGTGGATATCTTGTGTTTGTTATAACAAGTACAGTTCGGTCGATATAATTTGGTTGGTCTGATGTACACCTTATGCTTGGGTGATAATGAGTAAACTTGCCAACTGTTTGACTGCACAGCCAAATAACTAACCTCAGATAAGTCAAGATATATATTGGCCGGACTGTTCGTATTTTAAAGCCGAAGGTCGATTGGAATCCACACTATCCACATCTTAGATTCGCACTTAGTAATAATTGTTTGTTTGTATTTAGCCTGCAGCCAGCAACGCAGTTTCACTCTGCCGTCCGCCGTGTGCCTGTGCGTGCCTGTGCTAACAACGACAAGCGTGTCACGAAGGTTTAAAAAAAAGAAACGTGTTTATCGAGCGTGAGTATTTTTTTCTTCAATTTAATTTTAGAAAATCGATTGCAAAAATTATAACAGTTTTATTCGGTGAAGATCGCTATTGTACCTACCGAAAGAGTAAAACCAATTGAGGCGGATTCTTCTTTTTTATTTTAATTTTAATGCCACTAAGTTTAATTGTCCGAACCCGCAAAACACAGTGGAAAGCTATTCACACTGTTCGGTGCAATAACCGAACATTTATATGCCTCTCACGGCACTTTATATTTTTGTCTATTTTAATTTAAATAAGAAAGTTTCGACTTGAACTTAAACACAAGTTTTCTAGTAAAATCCTTTGAATGAATTATTGGTTATTTAATTGAAAACTTTTTGAGCATAAAGTTTTAAGCTTAGTAGTTTTGTGTTATTTCATATAATAATGAGGAGAATAATATAATATTAAGAATAATATCGATTCGTAGACAACTATTGCCTGACCGTGGCCTTCATAATGTCATGACATCCTGCTTTTTTTCTCTCCAACCTGAGTCGCCTCGCGTGCCCAGCCTTTCTTGGTTGTTTGAAACTTTTTTGTGTTTTACCCCAAGGTCAAGGTAACGATGAAATCGGTCGAATCAAATATTATTAGATTTTATTCTTGAATAATAACTAATTATAGTTATGATTTTATTTATTTTTTAAGCATTTAACTGCTAGATGTTTAAATCTAAAGAAAAGTTTACTAGAAAAAAATCCACGCGGACCAGGCAGCGGACGGGACTCGAACCCGCATCCTTCGCTATCCGGGCGAATGCACTGACCATTATGCTACCACGGCCCTATTAGCCGCGTTGAAATTTTCCTAGCCTTAAGCTGCAAGGCAGCGCCATCTCTTCGCATTGTAGGCAACCCACAATGTCAAATGAATACTTTTTCAAGTATTAAACAACTAATAAAAGGTTTAATTAGTAAAATTTCTTTTCAATTTAATTTATTCGTTGCTTGTATTACTTTTAGTGGCGTATGCAAATATTTTTCTACTGTGGGTTACAAACTTTAGTCAGTTGAAGAATCATTATCATTATCTAAGGGGATGGCAAACATAACTTATAAGTTCTTTTAATTAGCGATCGTATGCTCACTCAAGAAGTTTACAGTAGAAAGCGCAGTGGATTTGCTTATTAAAAAGTAACCTTTTAGTAGCACAAATAAAAACTTTAGTTTCCTTTAATTTATATAATAATATCTATTTACCTACATGTATTTTACCTAAACTAATAATAGATTTTTTTTACGTTTGTACCGATTAAATTCTAAAACTTCTGAGCCGATTTTAAAAATTCTTTCACCATTAGAATGCTACATTATCCCTGAGTAACACAGACTATGTTTTATCGCGTTAAAACAAAGTTCACCCATGCAAAGCTGGGGTGCATCGCTAGTACTGTAATTCAAAATTATGTTAACCGTTTCCAGAACAAAATGGCGGACAGTAACCGCATCGTATTTCCTGATGAGGTCGAGGAGGCGAAGGCGGCAGCCGGAAAACCTGCGGATCAGAGCACTGGCGGTGACTCCAACTCCTTGGAAGAGGTCGCGGAGGTGCAACCCACCGTGATGACCAGGAACATGATCTCTGTGCCGTCTAACTGCCCGCCTGGATTCAAGATGGGCCCCGATGGTGTGTGCCGCGAAGTATTCGATTAATTCAAGTTACTTTACCTTCTACACTGACTGCGTCTTGTTAACGGCCGTTGGTTCAAAGGGCGACGAGTCGGTGCGATATACTTTTCTTTCTTATCAATGCGTTGTTAGACAAAGACTTGTATATCACACAGACCAGGGGGCCATTCGCCTAACGGAAATGCTTTGGAAACAGCTAACGCTTTTGATTTTATTTTCTTATTTCTGACCGCCGAAGGTTTTCAAATACCCCACGCTAGTTTTTTTTGATATTATTATCAATGCAAAAGAAATAAAAAAGGAGGCATTTGAAAACCTCAGGCTGCTAGAAAAACAAAATGAAATCGTAAGCGTTAGCGTTTTCATAAAGCATTTCGTTAGGCGAACGGCCCCTAGGGGGCCAATTGCCTAAAGGGATTGATATGACTATCGCTAGCACTTACGATTTCATTTTGTTATTTCTGACTGCCGAAAGTTTTCAAATACCTCACGGTCATTTTCTTTAATTTGGTTATTACCAATGCAAACGAAAAAAAGCGCGGGACATTTGAAAATCTCCGGCGGTCAAAAATAAGAAAATGAAATCGTAAGCGATAGCCATAGCAATCCCATTAGGCGATTGACCCCCCGGTGTCCTAAAATGGTTCGCGCACATTATGACTGGACACAACGTATCGCAAAATGCTAACTTAGGACATTAGGGACGGGCCGGGTCACAGCGCATTGACGGATTCCGGGTACAGAGTACTGCCAGACGTCCGTGTAACTATATGCACTTCAAACCACTTGCTATAGCACACTATGGCGGGGCGCATAATATGCGGTCTGTTGCGCCCCGGCATAGTGTAGTTCATATAGAATACATACGAGCTATTTGAGCGGATTTTTGCGCTGCGTGCCCGACCCGCTGCGGCCTGTCTTAATGTGCGGGATCTTTTGGAACGGTCATATTATTAGTTAACATTGACAGCGACTTTAGTATCGCAGCATGCAGTAATCATTCTATGGCAACAATAGGTACGGTTTGATACAATAGTTGTATTCAGTTTAGGCGCCTAACAACGTTGCCAGGTAGAGACAGCCACACATCAAGGTACCGTAATTTGTAAAATTTTCTAAATAGATTGTGAATATTTTATAAATAACCAGCGGCGGTCCGCGATTTCGTCCACGTTAACTCTAGTTTTTTGGGAATCCCTCAGGAACTTAAGTCCCTTAAGTACTTTTTGCCCCGGAAAAGCGTGTACACTTAAAAAAAATCATCCTAATCCGTTCAAATTCGTTCAAAAACAAACATTCTAATTTATAACATCAGTAAGAATATTATTATTTGGAGAAATTTGTTAGTTTTGGGTAACTTGATTTGTGGTTGTCTATACTTTTACAAGATGATATTGTTTACTCGGAGCTACTATTTAGAAGTAATTTTACCACTATTGCAGGCACGGTATAATTCGTATAATTCGTAACATCATAAGAACCTAGGTATATTTGCTCTGTTCATTTAACAGAACCAACAACAGTACTGTTTATTTATAAAACAGCGATGTCATGTTAAATTTGTTTTGCAAAGTTCCTATGGATATTTTCCAGAGAATAAGGCAATAAAGTTTATATTTTGTTGTTTTTGTGTATTTAATGCCAATTTCAACCATATTTTAAATATATACATTGCCATATAGATAGATAGTAACTATGTTTCTTAATAAATTAGATAATTTATAATTACTAGCTATTCATTTATTTTTGATACTATTCGGTACAGTATGTGGACCAAATAAAAGTACCTATTTCAATGTTTCCAAAAATTATGAAAACAGCCACAAGCGTAAAAAAATGTATGTAAATAAGTACATATTTGTATCTAAATACATAATAATTAGGTTCTTACTGTCATTGTTACGATACCATTAAATGAAACACACACATTTCTAATAATTAACGATCATTTACTTTAAAATATTCATTATAATTACATAATAATGGCCTAACTCTGTGATAATTAAAACAAAAGATCTAAGATAAAAAATTCAATATTCTTTTCTTTAACCCTGCCATCATAAAACATTATTGATATTCATCTACAAAAATTATAAATAACCCAGCGTTGCATAAGTTTTAACAAATGGAGCATCACTCTCACAGGAATTCCTGAAAAAGAGAAATGATAATTTAATTACAATCATTCAGAAACATCTTTTATTTTTAAAGACAAATTCTGATAACGAAATACAGAATAGTTTTTAAAAATATAGTAGATACCTTATTACAACCGTGCAACAGAAAAAAAAGATGACTGAAGGCATTAATGTTTTTTTTTTGTGATAACTAATCACTAATCAATCATGTATTACGTAGAAAAGCTCAAAATAATAAGATAATCACATATTCTGTTTTATGCTTAAATAACAAACCATTGTTTAAGTGAGTATTAAAAAAAGTTGTGCGATCAAATTTTGAGATTGCTACGGCAAGTTTGACAAAATTATTCCTTACTCAGACATAAAATTAATAGAGAATTAAAGAATACTATATAGGAAAGGTTTCAAGAAATCTCAGTTTACCAATGAAAATGTTAACCTGTGGAAGTCATAGTTGTTTATTTTGAATGCATTACGTGGGCTTTGAAGGGTGTCCAAAATTATTTATTGGTAATTTCCTAGATAGGATTAAAAGTTTCCCAACAAATTATTTCTTTGAGTTTCCCCAAACTTTTGCATAGTCATAAAACCACCAAGAAACGGGCGCTCCGGGGGTCCTTTTGGGGTACGGATTTTTTTTAAATATCCCTCACGAGGAAGAAGCTAAAGCAATTCAATATTTTTTTATTTCCAAAGAGAAGCCGTTCTAAGGATGCAGCGGGCATGCCTAAGGGCGCAGGAAAACCTTTGGGTAAGAAAAGGGTTTTTTTAAATTTTTAGTGAAAATGATAAAAAGTTTTATTTCAATAGTGCTTAACGTGAAATGAACAAAATCTTTGGGTAAGAAAATGGAGTTTTCAAAAAGTTTTATCACACATCTCTGTATTTATACTGTTTACTTAAGTATTGTATTTATATTTCAATATGGCTTAACATGATACTGCATTGACACAATCGCGCTCGCCATTCGCCTCGACGAAACATTCGTATACGAGTGTCGGTCGCCGCGAACTGGTCACACATTCGCGGTGTAAATCATTTTGAAACTTACACACGAAGCCCCCTTAAATATTTATTTACATCATCAGCCTACTTAATGACCCCACTGCAGGTGCTAACGATTCTAGATGCAACTAGGACCACCGGTTTAACGGTTTAGGAGCTCGAGATAATAAATTTTTGGTCACTCATCCTATGACTGACCACTGCGAAAGTTGCTTAATTTCAACGATCGCAACTGAAAGCGCTAATTACTTGCGCCATCGAGCTGTTCGACATATATATTTTTTTTGTATTTTATTTTTTTAATGTATGCAACTACATATTCTGTGAAAAGCGTCTACCTTTTGCCGTTATTAATATAGAGCAAAAAACGGCAAATAAAAACCTTTGTTGTATGGACATCGTCATCAAAGCATCGTTTATCTTTTGTCTATTTTTATGATTGCGATATTTTGGGTTCCAAGTTCCAAATGAGCTAATCCTTTTGATAAAATTCTAAAATTAGCACTTCACTCCACTTCATTTTGTCTACACGTCCTGTTGGGTCGGCCGATAGCAGTCAACTGAATGCAGGCGAATGTGTTAACAGTCAGCTCGTGCTCGCCATTCGTGCCCTTTGATTCGCGTTCGAAAAACCGCTCCCAACGCGAGCACGCGAATGGCGAGGCGAAGCACGAGGCGAATAGCGAGCGCACTGTTTACATATGCGAGCTCGTCACTCGCCTCCCATTGGCACGAAGATGTAAATGCGGCATGAAATGAAAGAAAAAGATAGAGAAGCATTACGTTTTGCAGTTCAATCAAGGTCAAGGTTTTCTGCCGTAGATTAGTGATTAGATGACGAAGTAATTTACTTGACTGGGCTCGTAATTGTTAAGCCTTCATTTTTTATAGACTGTCGGTTCCGGGTAATGCGCAACTTAAGGTAACAATAGCAGGTGGACTATACGACTTTAAAAGCAATGTTATACTAACTTGCTACATTGCAAACTAGGTTATTATAATATTTTTCTATTTAAACTGTAGAAACAAAGTAATGTATGTAGTCAATTTATTTATATTATGTATCGCCATTGAAATTATACATAATTAATTTATTTGATTATGTATAATTTCAATGGCGTATTCCGTATATCATTGCCCTACTTTGTCTGATAATATTTAGTTGTAAAAAGTTCTTCGCTACATATACATATACTTATTACTCGCTACATCCATCTGATATATGTAAAGAAATTTTGTTTAAATTAGAGAATCTTGCAGTTTTATGCTTTTAAAATGTAATGAAAAAAATATTAAGATTATAATAATATAATTTGGTAGTAAAAATATAATTTACTATTATTACTATCTACGTAACATCATACTGTTAAAAAATTCTCACGTGTTTCTATATTTAATTTACTGACTCTGAATTGCATTAACAGTGCTGTGCATGAAATTATTTGAAATCTTACATTTATATAACTGTCAATTTAAATCCAGGTATGTATGAGATGCATTTCATGCATGTCACAATAGAACAGCATAACCTAAGCCAAAGGTCTAAACAGACCTATCCTTATAAATGTTATAATTAAATACTTTCTAGAAGAGAAGACATAAAATATATCTCAATCTTTAAATAGTTGTGCAATTATCTACCGCAATTCTACCTTAATATGCTATGTCTACGTACGTTGCTGAAACAAAAAACATTCTCATGCTAAACTCTCTATCTCTAACAAAAAACCTATAATTTAGCAACGTAAAGTTATAAAAGTCTAAATTACAAAAAAATACATTCACTGAAATCATTAACAGTATGTGAATATACTTATGTTTTACAAAACAATGCACAAACTAAACTCACGATTACTTACTCGTCCTCCCAGGGACAAATGTCGTTCCGCTGCTTACGCTCACCGATGCCGCTTTTATTATTATCACGCTTAACAATATTGGATTCAGTGACCGACGACAGTTCGTCTTTATGAGCAATTTTTTTCATCGCGTCCGACTCGGACTCCGCCTCGGAGACTGTCGAGACCCTCTGCAGGGGCGCCGAAGGCACTTTGTCTACGTTGTCGTCGTCGACTCCGATGTCCTCGCACACGGCGAGAGGCGCCACCGGAGCGCGCGCACTCGTCGCCACTGTCGCCGCGGGTGGCTGGTGCGCCACCGCGGCTGACTGCGGCTGCACCGCGGTCGACTGAGGCGTCATCGCGGCTGACTGAGGTGCCACCGCGGCTGGCTGAGGCGCCAGCGCCGTCAACACCGCACTCGTAGGGGCCCCGGCCGCCGGCAGAGCCTCCGCCGTGGTAGCGGGCGGCGCCGCATGCGCTGCCTCATATCCAGTCAGCGCGAGTTCCACCTTGGCGTCTCGCACGGACTCAGGTATCGAACCGACGCGTTCGGGTGGGCACTCTGGAAGATCGCCGATTTTGCTACTAATATCTTTACTTGAGGCCGGACTGATTTCTTTCATCGTTGACGGTTCTCGGGACAGCGTTCCTCGCACCGAAACGACGTCGTCCTCCGACGACCTCGTCCTTTCAGAGTCTCTAGAGTCAGACATCGCACCGGATCCGGTGGAATCATCGCGAGATTCCGATTCCGCTTTCGTTAGCACGGTCACACTCACTAGTGGTTCGTCAGTTCTCACTTCGTCACCGAGCTCCGAGAGCCGGTCACCGGTGGACGGTATACGGTCGTCGAGCGGCCGGAACGGAGGGCGCGTCGGCTCCGTTGGCGTCGCGTCCGCGGACGCGAACACCGAGGACGGCTCGTCGGATTGTGCGATGGAGCGCGGCTCGTCTGGTGAGACTGTCCCCGGCGGTGAATCGGCCGACTCGTCGTCGGGCGCGGAGCTAACGCTGATGGTGGGCGTCGGGTGCGGTGGAGCAGCAGGCGGCTGCGGCGCGGGCGCGGGCCGCGGAGGGCGCGGGGAGTGCGGGGGAGAGCCGAGAGGCGCGAGGTGCCGCGGCTCCACGGCGGACAGTCGCCGCAAGGGAGGCGGCGCGCCTCTCAACCCGCCGTCCAACGTGCTCTGTTGCGGCAAACGGCGCGTTCGTTCGGCGACCGCCACGGCCGCGCTCACGTCTGATGATGAACTGCCCGAGTCGGCGGCTGAATCTTGGCGCCGCCTGATTGCACCACTGACACCTTCTCGGGATGAACTCTCCCAAGGTAAGACGTCAGCCGTATCGTCGTCGAGAGGATCCCTGTAACGTCAAACATAATGTTCTTACCTGTGTTATGTAGTAATATAGTGTTTTAAATGATAGTGTGTCATATCTACTGACCGGAATGGAATGTCAGCAAGGTTGGATTGGCTGTGGCTGTGGGGCGGTGGGTCTGGCGGGCGCGGTGGTTGCGCGGCGCAGACGGCCAGCTCGTGCGCTGACCCAGACAGGGAACGGTCAGATCCGCGTCGTCTCTGTAGCGCCGGTCCCGCACTGCCACTTGTTGATCCAGGCTTCTTTTTAACTTGCCCGCCGAAGTTAAAGAATCTGAAGCGATAAAGATGGGCTGAATTATCGTTACTTAAGTTAAAAGGTTTATCAAAATCTAAATATAACGATACATCAGCTCGATATCTAGAGAATACGTATGGCATTAAGTCCGTCATTTACTGTATTTCGGTCAAGAAGAATTAAATAAATATTTTAATTTTTTCCCTAATTGTCAATTTCATTTAGTATTCACCAGACGACTAAACTAAAAAAAATTGGTGGATATCTTGACTTAATTATTGTCCATAGAAAAGGACTATGGTCAGTGCTCCAACACTTGGGACATTACTAGTTTGAAAATTATAATCAGGAGTGTATTCCCAACTGCAAAGCAACTGAAGTTATACAAATGCATAGGTACATCACTGACCTATATTTGTATATTTTGATTGAAAAAAATATCCCTGAGCGCCCAATATTAAAATATGCATTGATAAGTAGTTTGCATCACCTTGACAATTTTAAAGCAAACCCTTAAAATAACAAGTTAAATGCAAATTCTCACTTGGCCTTTTTCTGATGTACGTTTCGGCCTTCCGTTAGAAGTCGCTGGAAGTGGTCTGAGCGCACGAAGCGCGGGTAGCAGTCCTTCTTGAGCAGCAACCCGTACACATGGTCGGCTGCGTGGTCAAGTGCGTAGCGAGAGCCAGACTTTAGCCCTTCCATCACGCGCTCGGCCGTCGCACCGTCAATGTTGATCTCACAAGGCGCACCAGGCTTTAGAAACTCCCTGTAAAACAGTAGTTTTGTTCAATATCCTGAGTATAAGTCGTTGGACTTCGATGGGGTAGGGATTTTCTAATCCCATATAAACAGGTGGCACGTAAGCACTGCCTCAAGCAAATCGCACGAGGTTAGTACATTTATTATTTAATTAATAACACGAACAGTGGTATCTCCAAGCAGGGACTGATTTATTGACTGTAACTTTACCTTTTGCTGCCCAACACACACCAACTATTGAACCCATTGAAGCGACCCCTATCGGGAGCTAGTTTTGTTTTTTGTTGTAAGGTGTTTTAACAATATAGACCGTCCAACCTATATCATCTTTTATTCCACACCTGCTGTAGTTTACTTTATTTTGCCCCGTGGCTCTTTCGGGCAACTTTCAGGGAGCTTCCCGTGGTACTAGTACCTATAGACCATGGGCTTTATTTTTCTTCGGAATATATCTTCTATAATATATATTCTGTTCGTGTGAGTAAACTTACTTTTTGTGAAACCGCATAAAAAATCGTTTTATAGTTTATAAGATATAGACAGAGGAGACAAAGGGAGTTTTTATCAAGTGTTTGTAAGGATACAAGATGCAAGAGTGATGTGTAATTAAGGCCTGTTTGTTTATGTGTCTAAGTAGAGTTATGCATGTTTAAAACTCACTCGTAGATATCCTCCAACTTCTTAGGTATGTGCTTTGTGCTACTTCGTCTTAGATCCATGACTGCCAGCCAGAAGCGTATGTTTTCGTGCGAGTATTCCTTGCGCAAAAAACTTGTAAACTCCTGAAGACCCGTGGGATCCGACACCAATTCGTCTATGGAGAGTGCCCATCGCTGTACACGCTTTTCACTCGGCACCTCCACTCTGGATTTAGATGAGTAAGTTACAATCTTTTACAATTATAATAATTAACATTTATAACTTAAATGTCAAAAGTAGATAAATTGTAAGTGGACATGAAGTGCAGATTACTCAAAGAAATTTTGTATACATAATATAATTGAGATTACTGTTATTGAATATTTATTCATAAGTCATAACGATGTATATATAGTTGGATCTATCCTAAGGGAATATTCACTATAAATGCTGCTCTAGCATCATCAACGTCGAAACTACTATATTAAGAAAAGTAAATCACAGTGTTATTTATAGTGTGATATTTTATTAAAACATGCGTCGAATAAAATGAATGAATTTCCTGTTTTACATAAAATAACGATACAAAAAGAAAACTTATTTCATGCATTTACTATACAGAATTAGAAAACTCACAGAGGGCTGTTAATTTGCCAAAAGATTGTGTCGTCGCTGACCCAAGGATTGGAGGGCTGCGGCGGGGTGAGCCAGGGATCGTAGGGAGCGAAGGTCTCCGAGTAGGCCACTAGGGCCTCAAGGGCAATTGAAGTCTTCACTCTCGTACGGTCCAGGCTCGCTTTTAGATGTTCGATCTAGAAGGCAGAAGCATCTGTTCAGGTAGAAGCATCTACAGTACCATTGAATAGGTGTCAGTATTTAAAAATTCTAGAAGCTCGCTTTTCAGTACCAGTTTTTCAAGCGGGGATGAGATGAAAAATTAGTTTTATAAAGATAAATCAATTACTGGTTCAATACGTGCTTCAATATCTGAATCATCAATAGAAAATAATAAATTTCAAGTTTGATTACACAGGTAAGCGCCGTGCGAACTTGGTGTTGCAAACGTCTTTAAGTAACCGTTGTCGATCACCTTACGTCGGGTTATAACACACAGTAAGCTTGTTTTCCACCCTTGTTCCACTGGGACTATTCTAGTACCTACATTCGCTCGTGGTGGTGCACTTTTTGTGGCGCGGAAGTTCCGGTTCCGTCTTTGTGCCCCGTGGCACGGCTCCAGCGCGCTAGACCCACCGGGCGGGTATAATAGTAGGTAGGATATAGGCGCTGACTTCCCTTGTGACATGCTGTGTGGCGCGCTTGTTGGGACGCGGATGCTGGACGCGCACGGGCACGGCGCACGGCTCCAGCGCGCTGGGCACGCCGGGCGGGTATAGTAGTAGGTAGGATATAGGTGCTGACCTCCCGCGTGAGCTGCTGTATGGTGCGCTTCTTCGGGCGCGGATGGCGGACACGCACGGGTACGGGGCACGGTTCCAGCGCGCTGGGCACGCCGGGCGGCGGCCGCGCTACCCGCCAGTACGCGCGCTCCTGGCTGTCGCTCACTATCTTGTCGCCTTTCTTGCGCTCCTTCGCCAATCGTACCTGTGAAAAAAGTTTTAGAGCATTAGAATCCACGTGCGTCTTTGGTTGAGTTTTTCCTTTGTCTATTTAATTTTATTCCTTTGCTTTTTATACATTTTTTTTGCTACAAAGAACATAATTTAGGAGGAGATTCAAAACAATATTTAGATCATATTTCCCAATGCACTGTTAAAGATGTCAACAAGATCATTCAAAGTCTTGATTCTAACTCTAGCTCTGAGATAGGTGGAATAAGCACAAAAGATGTTAAATGTAGGACCGCAATAGCCGAGCATCTCTGTGCTAGATACAATTTACTCCTCAGTGAAAGCAGATTTCCAAACTCACTTAAGATAGCAAAAGTAAGTCCTATCAATAAATCATGTCCTACAAACAATCCCAGCAATTACCGTCCGATCTCGGTGCTACCGGTAATGTCCAAAATATTAGAAAAAAATATATATTCCCGACTGCATAACTTAATGAGCTATTTATCCAAATATCAATATAATAAGGGTTCAAATAATTTAGCGGCTACAATTGATCTTAATTACCAAGATAAAACATTATATTGACAAAATAACATTAGGCTAGAAATCTTTATTGATATCACGAAAGCCTTCGATCATCAACCATGACTCATAAAAAAAAATTGAAAACTTTGGTGTCGTTGCTACTGCCTTAAACATGTTTAAGTTGTACTTGAGCAATTGGCAGCAAATCACTAAAATAGGTGAACATATGAGTGGGCCAAGATCGGTTATATGTGTAAGTACTGCAGGGGTCTTTGACCTTTACTCTTCCTGATATATATCAATAACTTAACTGAGACCAAACTACATGGACAACTAACTTTATACGCAGATGATACATGACTAGAATAGACTATCATGGGGACTGATTAATGATATGATCAGGAAAGCACAAGGCGATTTGAATTTCATGTTTGATTGGTTTCAATGTAATATTTCTAAGACTTGCTACTGTATTAATAAATCAAAAAATAAAATAAAAATTAATTTACTACATTAACCATAGATGATCAACCCATAGTAGAAAAATAAAATGAAAATATCTAGGTCTCTGAATTGACAACAAGTTATCATGGCAATCACAAATCAGCCACGTAAAGTCTAAATTACCTTCTTTTTTAGGCGCCATACGACACAGTGTAGGGTGTATTCCACGTGAGGCGCGATTTATGATAAACAACTCATTTGTCAAATCACACCTTACTTATCTCATTGAATTGTGGAAAGTTCGCCTAAATCTGGACTCAAAGAATAATAAATACTACAAAACAAAATCATAACAGTTCCATTCAATTACGATTATCTAACTAGTACCGATAAAATTTATATGGAAACCAAACTAATGAATTTAAACCAATTATATAAATATAATACGTTAATACTTATTTACAAAATTTTCTCAAAAAAATAAACACCAAAATAAAATGAACTAGATCTCACGAATTGCCTAGATATTCATTTAGAAGATACCACAAGTTGGTACTTCCTAAATCTGTACCAGCTACGGTAAGAAAACCGTAATATTTGCATGTTACCCGACTATGTAAAGGAGGCACAATCAATCAACAAACAGATTAAAACACCATATTATATCTAATGATTTGGAATAAACTAAGAACTATTACTGAATGCGTCTGCTGCCTTCCGACTGGACTACACAAATACTTGTGCTTAATAACTAATGTTTTCTCATGCAAGCGAATGTAATGGTTTTTATATGAGAAACTAGCAAACCAGGCGAACTCCGTTTCGCCATCAGATGGCTTCGTTTTATGTAACATTTCGTTTGTTGATTAAAAGAAGATTTTTTTTTTGAAATTTTTCCTGAATTTTCTTTGCTATAAACCTCACGGAGCCCGAGACCTTTCCAACGAATGCAAAACCGTGGAAATCGGTTCGTGCGTTCTGGAGTTATAGCGTCAGGAAGGAAAACCCGACTTAATTTTATATAGTAGATAAAGTTTCGTTCTTTGACCTTATATTATGTAGATTCGAAATTAAAATATTCCTGTCGAATTTGCCAAGCTCATGAAACTACTTAGCAATCCAAGTGTTTTCCGTATGTCCGTGGAAATATTTTTCGGTAACTAATTCCTATTTAAAATAAACATGGCAGATTTTTTATTAATGTAGCTGTTTGAGATTTTCCAAAGACCTTTTACAAGCTTTCGAACCCCTCAATACTTACACAAGATACCTAAACAATCTGTATGTCATTGTGAATGTGAGCTCACCTGTTCTTCCGCCTGCATGGTGATGAAGTCCCATTTGGCGGCTAGATTCTTCTTGAGGTTGGTCAACGCCTCCTGTTCGTACTCCTCGAGCCCGTGCCGCTGCTTGTTGCGCAGTGTCCTTTTCACCAGGTAGATGGCGTACTCCACGTTGTCGGGCCCCAGGGTGGGGGCGCACGACCCGCTCCCGGCCACCCTGGGCGCTTGCCATGGCCAATAATATGGACTCTGAAGTAATAAACACATGCATAATATACCTATTTGATACTATCATGTTGGGCTTTGACCGGAAGTTAAACGGAGGATGATGACAGATGGAAATCAAGTTGAAATTCAATAACAGACATATCAATCAAGGTAAATCAGCCTTTTGCTTTATATGTAGTCTAACTTTTAATGCTATCGACGAGACTATGCCATAACAGCTTGAGCGTGTAATTCAAGAATTCTTGAAGGATGCATAATGTAATGTAGGTAATAAACATAGAGTATCAATATTTATTAGAACAGCTAAGTAGTACAGGGTGTAAAGAATTCGATCTGCGTTTGTTTAAGATAAGTTTTTTTCAGAGTGACCATTCATTGGATAGGTGACCCAATATTTACTATTTCGAACTATTCCGTGCTCCGGAAGGCACGTTAAGCCGTTGGTCCCGAATGCATCTGCAGTAATTAGCACCCATCAATCCGCACTGGACCCACGTGGTGGTTCGTGGCCCGCTCTCCCTATTCCGCCTATGGATTACAGAGGTGGCAATATTATAGGCTAGTGATGAGATATATATTGGTAATACTCACTTGAAATCTATAAAGTGAAGAGTCATCTTTTAATACAAGATTTTTCAAATCGTTGACAGGAAAGAAGTATCCGTATTGGCAGAGTTGATTGGCTAAGTTTATTGCTTCAACTGAAAATCAAAAGCGTCACATTAATAAAGATAATCCTATCTGGAAAAACAAAGGAGCAATACAGAACAAGGACATTTATTATTATTGGGCCTTTTGTATAGAGGAAAAAGTGGTGCAAATTTTAAGCTCTTGAAATGTTTTTGCATTAACTGTTCAGTTTGGCTTTAGTCAAACAGGCGCGTCGTAGATGATAGTAGTCGTCTCTATCTTTCGACGGCAGCCACCCGATGAGTCGACGGCTGTGAGCCGCTCGTGTATATGTACCCCTACTTCCCCTCAAAGAATGCCAACTTAAAGTATTGCTGGCGTGTTTCCTATACTGACCGCAGTGTCCTCTATGTCTTGGAACTCAAGAGAAACGCAATCCACAGAATCATATTACTTTTCTTTAATGTTTTAATTGTTATTAGGTACTTAACTTGCAAGTAATATCTTTTAAGGAAGCACGCAGAGATGTCAATTCTTATTTTAATTCAGTTTAGTTAATTTATTTTATTTGATTTCTTTGTTATATTCTTATAGCCGTCAGTCAACTACAAGCTTAAGCTTACTTTCTGTACTTTAAGATAACACATCACTTTAACAATCATTCACTTTAATTGACATATCTGAATGGCCCTTAAATTAAATAAGTATTGTTAAATAGAGCGAACATTTTCGTGAGCTGAATATTATTCACTGAAGAAGCATTTATAATTCCTATAAAGTTGAATATTAATTGTAAACAAACCTAATAATTTTTTGACGATTTGACTCGAAAAGCTCAATATAAGTAGTAAATAATTATATTTAATGTCCAAACTTCATTACTAACAATTAAGCTAATAAATACAGCGAAACGACAATTATGCGGAAAGCAAAGTTAAGTTTTCAGCCAATTGAAGAGTGTTCATTCAATTTTGTGTATTTATTGGACTTTCGTCACTGCAGGTAGATGCCTTTTGCTCATGGCCTTCCTTTGAAGTGTGTGCATCAAATACTTATACTATATAAATGCAAACTGGAGAAGTTTCGATTAACTCACTATTTTTTCCAAAGGCGTTATAACAACAAAAGAGCATCAAGCTCACTAATAATTAGTGCAAACCTACTTTTTTAATTACATGTAACTACTCCAAAATATAAATGAACCTTTGCTAATTGAATTTATTTCGCGTTTCCATGAGCAAGGATCTACCCGTTCCACATTTCGGAAGTTGTCGAGCTGAGTAGCACACACATGCGTATTATATGCCGCGCTACCTACATATTAACGCCTGGGGGAACGACTTCTCACTATAGCTAGACTCTACGGGAATCCTGCGTCGGGACGCCGAGCCGCCGGCGCCACTTACTATACACTCACCGTTGCTGGTCTCATCGAGATTAAACCGTTCCATTAGCCATTCGACAAGATCATAACCTGTGAACAAAGAGAAAAAAATATGGGATTTATTATTAGGGTATTAGGGTAGATGCAGATACAAAGTGAACGTACTACGCACGTTTATTACGAAAAATGATTTAAAAGATGACGAATCCCAGCGCTCGGTAAAACCTACACAGGTTTTTGTAGCACTGGTGAAATGTATCATTTTTTATTTATAGTAATGTGAAATTCAATAAATAAAAATAAAAAAAAAAAACTGAAAACTGCAGTTCTATTCTGAAGAACCAACTCCCACCCAAGAACAAGCATTTCAAATCACACCGGCTGATTCTGCGGTGAAAAGTGAGTTTGTCCTTACAGAATAACACGGCTGATATCTTTTTTTGAAGTGAAAACTTCTTTGGGCGCGTTGGGCGTTTTTTGAGATGGGAGAAATGAAATTATACTTTATTTAAATTGACACCTTTAAACATAATGGTAAGCTATCTTTTCTAATGGCTTGAGTCATTAGCTACCGCACTGTTGTGGAAAAGTACTGGACTAAGGCCCGTATTACAGAATGACAACTAAGTGTTGATCTTTACTTGAGTACAGTTAGAAAGGAATGTCGCTATGTGCTATATATTGCGACATCCCTTTCTAACTATGCTCAAGACTAGTTCCATCACTAAGAATCTTTCTATAATACGGGTCTAAGAGCGTGCGCACCGTTAAGCACGGAGCGGGTGTCGGCGTGCAGTTTTTATGTAATTTCATAGAGACCCGCAGTGCGGAAGACCCGCCTCACTCAGCGCTGCTCTATGAAAAATCAAACAAACACGCTGAGCGGACGCCCGCTCCGTGCCCCGCTTAAGGGCTAGCGCATATATACAACTTTTAGTTGAACAACTATTTTGATGTGTATCGTATGTATATAGCAATTTATTGAAGCGCGCATACTATCAACTCGATAGTTGCTCAACAAAAAAGTCAAAAAGCTGTATCGATCTGCTTTTGATTAACAAGTTGGGTAACTATCGATCAAATGCTCAATTTGTATTGCATTGTATTGATATGCACATACCATCGACTAAACAGTCGATCCGTGACTGTCAGTCTCGCATAAGCATTTGGAGAGACTCCACGTCTCTTGTCACCATGGCGGGCTTTGCGGAAACTATTACGGACGACACGGAGGAGCTTATTAATAGTGTACCTGCACTTTACTTAAGCCCCCTTATTAATAAAGAATTATCTTGGATTAGTTACTCCATGTTTTGTCTCTTTTCATTGAATTACAAATGACTATTGAGTGATATGAACAAAACACGACGTAACTAGTCTAAGCTTATTCCTCGTTTATTAATAAGGGGGATAGAGCCTGAAAGAGTAGTCAGACATAAGTCTAAAGAAAAAGCTGCGGGAGGAAGTATGCATGGAAGTCGTATCTGGATGGTTGGAACTAGATCCAGAAAATAAAAGAAAACTAGGTAATTTTCATACTTCAGGTTCATATCCTACTTTAAATATATATAATAATATTATAAATGCGAAAGTTTGTATGGATGTGTACCCCGAAAAAAGTTAGGTTCCCGGGGGATAACCAAAAAACTAAATCAAAAGCGGACGAAGTCGCGGGCGGCCACTAGTATGTTATTAAATAAATAAATAAAAAAGTTATGTTAGTTGTATGATTTTATTTATTAAACAAAGGTTTTATTTATTAAACAAAGATTTTATTTATTAAACAAAGATTTTATACTATGTCGTATTGCCATGGTACAGAGCCTTGAGGAGAAATAAAATAAGACGTGAAGTACTGGCGGACATATACATCACCTGTAAAATTTCTTAGGTATAATTATATAGTACTAGCTGTTACCCGCGGCTACGCTCGCGTGGTTTTCCTATTTGAGGCTATCATCATCTTTTGACATAGTGAGTAAAAAAGTAGCTTATTTCTATTAAAATTACGGCGCCTTTCTGCTTGAAGCCGTACATTTAAATCTCTGCGCGCCTGTGCTTGTTCAAGTGTTTCAAATGACCTCAAAAAAGCTTGTCGTTCTGCTTGCTCATCAAGTCTTTGCTGAGTTTCAGCAGGTGTTTCTGCAGCTCTTAAAGCAGTTTGACGCCCCGCTTGTTCAAGTAGTCTTTGTTGAGACTGAACATCCGATTCAGCGGCTCTCAAATGAGCCTGCCGCTCTGTCTGCTCCTGAAGTCTTCTCTGTGTCTGCGACAGTGATTCTAAGGCCCTCAAATTCGCTTGACGTTCAGACTGTTCAAGACGCCTTTCCTGTGTCTGTGATTGAGATTCTGAGGCCCTCAAAGCAGTTGGCCTTCTCAGTTCAATTTCTTCAAGAGATTCTTGCGACCTAGTTAATCTCTTTGCTCGTGCTTGAGAGGATACTCTATAAAGGCTAGATTTGCGTTTGCGCGTCATTATTACGGTGAAGGTATCTGAAATATTTTTTTTATTAAAAAAAAAATTACCTATTTTAATTACAACAGTATAAAAATGTTTTTCATCCCACCACCTCGGAAAGTGTAATTTTGCGCTTCGAAATCTGGCTGGAAAATTCTATTTTATTCGCTTGAGCGGCAAAGTAGATTTGAATTTAGAACATCACATATAATGAGTACTCAATATAATTGTAAATTCAAAACGTCATTAAACCTATTTAATGTAACCTCTATGGTGCCAAATTTATGATTAGAACTTTTTAAATTGTGAAAAAATTTAAATTTGGAACCTTCTTGGTTTCTTTGTTTTATTTGCGTGCTTCGCGCCATTCTAGTTTTTCACGTTTTATTGCTTAAATATTTTGTCATTATAAATTGTTTTCTTTTTCATTTTGTCATTTCCTCGCTGAGGTGGGATGAAAAGTTACGTATTGCACTCGAGTGGAAAGATTTTTCACCTTGTGCTCGTTTGTTTCCCTCGCTGACGCTCAGGATTCTAATTTAGAATCACTCGCTGCGCTCGTGATTCAACTTTAGAATCCTTCGCTTGCTCGGTCATCCAAATCGAGCACGCGGTTAAAAAGGAACTTTCCACTCTTGTATAATAAATAACTATTGTAAGCACCTACTCAACTTGTTTATAGTAGGTAGGTATTTAAAATCCAAAAAAAATGCGAATAATTATCCATTCACCTATTTTCACAAAAACCCAAGATCAATGTGTTAAGTTAATCGTCAAAACGATTGCTTTTTAATATTCCTTTTTGTTTTTTTTTAATTTAATTATTTTTATTTAATTATTATTATTTTATTAACAGATACTTAACATATATTATGTAGGTATGTAGATAGGTAATTCGTATTTTATTAAAATCAAGGTATTTACCTATCTAGGTACCTGCTGAAATAGTATGCGCACTTAGTAGATAATGTAGGTAGGTACCAATCAAGGTAGGTACCTATCTACAAAGGTATCTACGAAATAGGCAGCCCTTCTTTCAGAGCAACAAAACCAATCAAAAACTACAATACCATATTATTACAAAAACCAATACCTACCTATGCGTTGTCTATCTTACTGGTAAAAATCGAGGAAGGTAGGTTATAATATAATAATCGTATTTTTTATCAGTGAGCCAAATTTATACATTCGAAGAAACTACCAAAATACCTACCTAATTCATTTAATGCACAACAAAACCAAATCACAAAGGAAAACAAAAACAGATATGTAGGTAGGTAGGTACCTTCTGCTTGCTGTTGCTTACCTGCTGAAATAGTAAGCACTTAACACCACCACGTTGATTCTTTGTGCTTTGTGTTCAATTAAAAATACTCATTTTAAAGACGGGTGGTGCCGTCTATAAAGTTACTCAGAAAATATTATTTCCAGAGAGTCTACTCGGTTGAATTGGTATTCGAGATGGTAGCGCCGTCTCTTATTATTATAAGCAACATCCAGAATCTATAATCACTCGAAAATTATATTTTTATATTATAAATTTAGAGTAGTATTTGCTAGATTTAATTTAAAAAATGAGATTAGAAAGAAATTGCGTAAAATTACCTCGATTTAATAAATGAAACACTAACACAAAATACTCGGTATTGAACACGAGTGGTGCGCCATCTCGTATTAAGATAGTAACTTCCACATTTCAAATTTAATCTGTCTTCGTGACAGTAGCGCCATCTCTATCGGGTCCAACCATGAAAATGATTAATTTAGTTGAAAATTATGTAAATTCGAATACATAAATTAAAAAAAAGTAGCCTATAGCAGTCTCATAAGTTCAAGCTATACATATACCAAATTTCATCACAATCGGTTCAGCGGTTTAGGCGTGAAGAGAAGACAAACAAACAAACAAACACACTTTCCCATTTATAATATTATTAGTATTAGTAATTAGTATTAGTATTAGTATGGATATGGATTGCTTTTTTCTCTTTTGAATTTTCTATAAAGCAAAGCACAAATTAGAACTTTCTTGTAAATTGACATTGTATGTAACACCTTGACTCGAGCGTTGCTAAATAAAGACTGGTCGAATTGAGGAAATAAAAAAAAAAATCGATGATCGACTGCATTAATTGTATGCGTACCTCCATCAACTAAACGGTTTAGTTGTGTGGAAATCACGAGAACTACAAAACGCGACAAAACAATTTAGTCGATGCAAAAGTTGTATATATGCGCTAGCCCTAACAGCGCGCACGACCTTATGGTAGCTCTGTGTGCTGTGGTATTATTTTATGAGAATTATTACCTAATCTGTATTTTTTCGGAATGAACTCTGTAACCCTAAAAGAAGAGCCATTATTAGATATCTTATTGAAGTAGATACTTTTTTGAGTTGGGAAAATTTAGAGATTTTAGCCTACAGGTTAAAACTATATAAATTCCTACGTATCTTGTTGTCAATAAAGAAACCATAAAAGTAATTTAAATGACCTGACCAATTTAAAAGGTTAATGTTCTCTGCTTATCAAATATTTGATAGCAATAATGAGAATCAAGCTAAGGAATAAAATATTAAGCTAAAGTATAAGTACTACTGCCGCGATGGGCGTCCGGCGGAGACGTACACTGGCTAAATAAGTGTATGCTAAGTTATCGATTTTACAATCAAGCTTTAGGTCATAGAAACATACATAGGCCAATTCGAGACATGTCGAAATGTTGTTCTTTGCTAATCCCTACGGAAACTAACATTTTCCTGGATAATAAGTATCCTATGACTTCATCCAGGCCATGAACAATATGTGTACCAAACTTCAGGGAAATGCGTAGCTTTTTAAAATAACCTAAAAGTCTTAAAGCTGCCCGCGAATTTATCTTTGTTTTTTGAAAATCCCTAAGGAAACTAACATTTTACGGGATAATAAGTATCCAACCATCCTTCAGTATCCAATCCATATATAATACAACTTGCTGTTACCCGCGGTTTATCAGGGATATTTTCCCGCAGTAAAACGTAGCCTATGTGTTAATCCAGGGTGTCAGCTAACTTAAACCAAATTTTATTAAAATCGCTCCAGCCGTTAAGACGTGAAGAAGTAACAAACATACAAACTCACACCTTCACAAACTTTCACCTTTAAAATATTAGTGTGATAATAATAATAAATTCATTTATTTCCGACATTAACCATTATATAATACTAGCGGTCCGCCCTCGCTTCGCTTCGGCGTAGAGCTGAAGTATAGACTACAGTTTTTGTTGTCAGGCTTGTATTATACACAATGACATTCATCTATGATTCTTCTTATACCTGCATGCAAAGTCTCAGCCCGATCGGTTTAAAATTGACAAAGTTTCATACAAACTTTCGTTCCCTATTTTATCCCATTGGGGGTAGAATTGATCAAAATCCATTCTTAGCGGATGCCTACGTCATAACATCTACCTGCATGCCAAATTTCAGCCCGATCCGTCCAGTAGTTTGGGCTGTGTGTTGATAAATCACTATGTCAGTCAGTCACCTTTGACTTTTATATACATATATAGATAATAACGGTCATTTTTATTACCTGTATTTATAACCAAACTAAAATTCTCATATTTCCGTTTTCCAGTACTCATTTTCTACACGTTTTACATGATTTATTTGCTAATTTTGTTTACAAATGTTTGGTTTTTATTCTAAGATAAGTACGGTTTCTCAATATCAATTATTGTCTGTCAATAAGGTCGAACGCTCTGAACGCATCAACAGCCAAATATTGAATGAAGCTCGCTTTCTTTTTTTTTTGTTTCTTCCTAGGCGGGGGAGCGGCTGTGAAATCCTCATGGATACCCTACAGCCGGCTGTAGAGTTATGTCAGACTCTTACTGACTAAAACACACCCGTGGGGGGTGCCTATGGCCTTAGGGGCCTTACAGGCTTCATCTGATGCGATCAACCCCTGAGAAGGGGATGATGCAGCGCTGCCTTAGTAAATACTACTGCATACTGCGCTTAGAGGACGGATGCACCCTGATGTGCATCCGTATCGGTTTGGGACTGAGCGACTGAAGGTCTCTCAGGATCGGGAGGGCGGGAAAGCTCGCTTTCGGACCTCCCGCCTTTTTATACCCTTCTACTATGATTCTTTTTTTATTGAATAGATAATAATGTTAACTTTTTTAAATTAGGGATGAGTGAGAGTATTATAAACGTAAGAGTAAACAAATATAATCAGAATGCTCCGAACTGCTAAGCTATCAGGAGTTACACGTGTTATTGTGAGTCAACCATAAAAGATAGACATATGCTGTTGCGGGATATTTTTTAGACAATTTTATGTAGAATATTTCCGTCATACATGATTTCTATGTAACTTTAACCATTAAGGCTCCACACGCGACGGAAGCTTAAAAAATGGAGTAACTTCTCCCGTTTTCCCAACATTTCCCTTCACTACTCTGCTCCTATTGATTGTAGCGTGATGAAAAGTATACTATAACCTGCCCAGGAGTATGAAGAATAATTGTACCAAGTTTCGTTAAAATCCGTCGAGTAGTTTTTGTTTCTATAAGGAACATACACACAGACAGACAGACAAAAATTTTACTGATTGCATTTTTGGCATCAGTATCGATCACTTATCATCTCCTGATAGTTATTTTGAAAATATATTTCATGTACAGAATTGACCTCTCTACAGATTTATTATAAGTATAGATAATAATATATGTATAGTTATTATATCTATGGGCAGCATATTGAATTTTGAGCAAAATTAAGTAAGTTAGAGGTTAGAATCTTGAATAAAGCTAATTATTTAAGTCTGCCCGAGGCTAAGACACTTTTATCCCCGAGGAGCATACTCTACTTTATACACCTACTGTGAGGTTAAATAAATTCTTGTCAGTCGTCAAAAAGTCAGGAAAAGTCTTTTCCATTTTATTTTCATTTATTAAAATAAAACTGAGAAAAGTGTACAGTGATAGCGACACTGATGTATAGAAGCGAAAGTTCAAAGCATTATTGACAGGGATTATGCCCGAAATCCAAAATTAAATATATAACATTTTACGAAGAGTTTTTTAGATGGCAAAAGCAGTAAAGAAGTCGAGTCAATTTCTGAATATTCATCACATTAAGTTTCCATAACTGGACTTTTGTTTCTAACTTAACTAAACGAAAAAGACTAGATCATTTAACGAAGTTACTTTTACTTATACACATATAATTTATTTAACCACACAGTTAGTGTATAAGTAGAGTATGCTACTCGGGAATAAAAATGATTTAGCCTTGGGTAAACTTAAATTCTTCGCTTCATTCAGGATTCTTACCATAATTGCTCACTGCATTCGGGAATTAACTACGGAATCCTTAATTTCGATAAGAATTCAATATGCTGCCTTTGACATAAAATCCCGCTTTATCCCCTTGGTCTATAATCAACTATTTAAAAAAAATACATCTACTATATTATTCATATTTTAGAGCATCTTCTTCTGTACTATTGTAAAATACTACTCACCCATAAAAGCAGACGGAATAACACTGAGAAAAAGTTTCTGGCTTCGTACCGGCACTCCTGTTTCTGGATCTTGCATTTCTTTTATCAAACTTTCCATCTGTAAGTTAAATATACATTGAAGTTAAAAAAAGAATATAATTATTTTTCTTTTAGGTACAATACTTTATTTAATTTAGAAGAGTGGAAAGTCGAAAATCAAGTTTGAATGTACGTAAAATAAGTTTTAATATACAAATTTGTCTATACTAGTATTATAGAGGAATGATTTGATTGTTTGTATTGAATAGGCTTCGAAACTACTGGACCGATTTGAAAAAATCTTTCACATCTAGAATCCTACATTATCCCTGATGAACATAGGTTTCGTATGAAAACTTCGATAGTGTAACCCAATATGTGAAAAAAATATCAAAAAATAACCTTATATCGCAGGCCGTAAGCCGCGGAATTAAGTGACAATAGAGCAAAATTATGTACTAAAGTTTTATAAAGGATATATCTATAATAATAATATAAATATCTACAAAACAAGTCAGCGATACAATATGTCTAGCTATATAGTTATGTTATGCCACAATTAGAGGTCCCCTGCGGTTTCACCCGCGTTAATTTGAGGAAAAAGGTTATAGTGAGTCAAACTAAAAAGATGGACATATGCTGTTGCGAACTTTTTTATAGAACCTTCAAAGGGGAGCAATTCCGTCGTACATGATTTTTGTGTAACTTTACGCGTTTACCCAGCGCACGTAACGGAAGCTCACAAATGGACTATTATTGCCCGTTTTTTCAACATTTTTCATCGATGCACAGCTGTCATTGGTCGTAGCGCAATGTTATGTAGCTTATAGCTTTCCTCGATAAATTCAGTATCGAACACAAAAATATTTTTTCAAATCGACCAGTATTTTCTGAGATTTGCGCTAAAAATCAAACAATCCAGCTTTATGATATTAAGTAGTAAGTATTGAGTAAATATATCTAACTACTTCTTCGTATTAAAATATGCAACAGTAACGCGCTGGTACAAACTAGGTCACATTATTCGTACCCGGGTATTAATTGTTATAAAAATAAATAATTTCTTATATTTTATTTACTTAAATTTACTGTAATTTTTGAAAATATTTTTTGTATTAGAGCATTGCCAAGTTTCATACCATTGAAAAGTTATCATGAGTACAATAATTATGAGAGATAAAAGTGATGGCTGCGTACAAACAAACCACTGCGTCACTAGATACATTTAATAATAAGGGCATGGACCAATGCTAAGTAAGACAAAGATTTTTTAATAGTAGAGTAATGGTGCAATCGGTACAACGGGTCCTAAACTACACATCAAAATTTTCAGTATCAGTTAAATAAATATTCACGGATGGTTTATATGAAGAAAGTCAATGGAATCGATTCTGGCGTGATTCTCCAAACTTAAAGCTAAATTTAATATCAGTCTCTCTTTCTCATACTGTATAGAGAATGACAAGGATACACTGTTGTCAAATTTAAGTTTAGGTTTAGAGAATCATGCCAGAATCGACACCATTGTGTATAATACAAGCCTGAGAACAAAAACTACACCGAAGCGAAGCGAGGATGGGCCAGTAGTATTTAATATATATAGATCTACTGTACCGCTTTTGAAAACAAATACTAATAGAAAGCTACATTATTTGTGAGGCTAACCCAAAATAGGAAAAGCTTTAACGCGGACGAAGTTGCAGGCAGCCGCTAGTTTACAATACATTAATTAAACCAATATGGCATTTTGAAGAGATGAGATCAATGTCAATCGATGTGAACAAGAAATTTTATCCGATTTTTCTCTTTGAGTAACCTACAAATAGATAAAGATTTATAAGCTACACGCCCACTTGTTCTTTGTTCGCTAAAATCTATATACCATAATATCTTAATCTGTACCAAAGTTATTATTATAAGCTTATTACTAAGTAACTATCAGCAAAACATTAAATCATCTTTAATGTGTTGAATACGGATTAGGCTTCCATTATCATAAGTCATCTTTTATCACCGAAGTGTATTTCAGGATAAACAAAGACATACTCTGGTAAAGGTATTACATACATTTTCTTTTATTTATCTTGAACAGCGATTCTTGTGTATGAAATACAATAAAAATATAAATACAATCTTTAGGTCAAATAGGAAACTTATTATGTACACATTAAATATTAACCGCGTTACTATACTACTACCTGTATCACTTGTTATTAAAATAGAATAAAAATCATAGAATTAACTAACATAGAATTAAGTTGAGATTTGATAAGATATTACAAATGCCAAAAAAAAGAATAACGAAAAACAAACACTAAATACCTATATAAAAGGGTTTTTGAGACTTTGTCACATGATAACTTTATGAAGTGTGTGTGTGTTTTTATGCAGCTATAATGCTATGCCTTGTAAAGTCGCACTCTAAAAAACTAGCTGGCGGGCGCCACGCTGGGCACTTCTAAGGAATTTTCAATAGGTAAGAAATTTTCTTTAGCACAGCACATTCTGTATAGAGAATGACAAGAATACACTGTTGTCAAATTTAAGTTTAGGTATAGATATCTTAGTTGTTAACTTCCTACTAAATTGTAGATAGGGTGGTTCGGGTAAGGACACACCAATCAGTAATTTTATTTTATTCAGTTAGTAATTTTGATATAGCTAAAGCCAAAGAAGCATCAAGGTCCCGTGTTTGTATCAAAGATCTTTAGCTAATTGCTTTCCATTGTTGGTAGTATGTGGTTAAATTATCAGTATAAAGCGTTTTGGATGATGTGGAGTTATATAAACAAATTTTTTACTACACTATTGATATTCCATGTACTTAGAAATTTGTTTATTCGTAATATCAAAAAACATTTATTCCTCTTCATATTCCTCAAAATCCATTTTGTTCATAAAATGACACCCCATCAGTGTAGTTATATTAACCCATATATGCCCACAACTATTATTTTTTGGTTCCTTATGTGCCCCCTGATTCGAAACAAAATAGGCACTTTGGTTGATGGTCATTAACTTCTACATTTTGATCGGACAGAACATCCTGTCTCCATATAAGTAAAAGATGCTTTTTGCAAATTGTGATTGATTGCATTGTCTACGTTACACTATTTGTTTAGTTATGAGTTAGTGCAAGTTGTGGTTTCATTTCAGTGGTCAAAATTCAACGTGTCTCTTCCAAAAAAGGAAGAAATTATCCAAATCTGCTGAAATATACGATTTTTGTATGTTCTAAACTAAAGTAAGGTGTGTGCAGAATATATTTGTGTAATTATAATGAGTTAATTGTTATATAAGAATATCTTAAAAATTTAATAAATATACAGCGTTTCAATGACGATACACTGGGAAAATATACGGTATGAATTATACTAAATATGCGTTTTGTATTTAAGTAACAGCAACATTGACAACTAATGAAATAGTCGAAATTGTCAATGATTTGAACTTAAGCGAGGAAGTGTTAGGCTTAGATAGTATATATTGACTACCACAGCAATGAATTAATTTCAGATTTAGATTCTGGCGTTGAGATAAGTGTAAGATTTGAGAAGTTTTTAGCACAAAGAGGTTCAAGGTGTTAATAATGATGACAGTGAGTTTGAGGATGATGATTTTCCGATTTCAAGGTACCAAACTAGACTAAACCGAACATCAAATCGAATATGCGCTAATTGAGTCAACCACGATGGCCATTAAACCGTAAATAGATAAAACGAGAGTTAGCTATAATGGATAATAAGTGGAACACTCCACCTTCAAGAACAGCGGTGACTGCATCTGAAGCTTCTGACTCAATATTTTTTTTCTATTTTGTAAACAATGCAATACTCGTCGCACAAAAAGTCCGCAATGATTTTGACACGTTGGAATTTCGACGTAGTATTGTCCGAACTTCTCTTCCAAAGTACGGCAACGATAATTTTAAGTCATCCAATAAACATTATTCTGAACATTATTTCTCATTTTAAAAATAAATAAATAGAACAAATGTCTTTGTTTATTTACTCACAGTAAAAGTAGAGGTCACAGGTTTTCTAACAATTAAAAAGAGTTACTTATCTTATATGTAACGACTTTCATAACCAAATGTTCAAATGACCTTCATTAAAGTAGGTAATATGTCAATACAGACCTATTAGCATTGACATATTCAAAATTTACAAAAATTTGAAGCCCAAAATAGTTCTGGGCATAAAGGGGTACTGTTCGTTTACGAATCAAGGGGCATATATGGGTTAAGCTCTTGTTTTAAAGCTGAGAAATGTTAGGATGACGTCATCCATTCCATGATGCCCTTAGGTCACGCACTCAGGTCAGGAAGGGAGGAAGTGGCTGACCCCGCAGTGTTCCCCCGAAGAGCCCTCGTCTCCGAGAACTGAGGACAAAGCGGTGCAGCGACCGCTTGAACCGCTGTTCGAGAGGGCTCCACTGTGAATTCACATCGTCGACTCTTGTTCTCGGCCTCTCTAACAGTTTGATTATAAAGGAAAATGAATACTTAGCTCTTCTCGGCTGTAGCCTTGACTTATTCGGAGACGAAATGTATTTTCTTCTTTTTAATTCGTTATATACAATTTTGCACTGTTCGTGGTTCCATCATGTATTTAATGTTTTTCTTTACATGTATTTATTGCGGTGTTTGGCCCCATTTTAATTAGTTAAATTATAAGTTAATAGTATTTTTCTATATTTTGGCAAATCTCAAAATAACTCAAATTCCAATTACCAGATACTGTAAAGCTACATACGGCTAGCGGGTTCCAGGGTACATAGTACTACTATCCGTACACAGCTTTATGCTTATACAAGGAAGAAAAAAGAAATATCTACAATGGAGCGCCCGGCTGAGGGTACAGTAAACAGCTTACGGTAAACAAGGTTACTACAGTAGGAGTAAGGTTTTTAAAAAATACACCATCTGTTCGGGCATAATATGCTTATGTGTCACGCATTTTACATAGCAATTCATAGATTAATTCATCATTTCGACTTCACCTTCGGTCATTTGAGTTGGACACAATTCTAAGAAGTTATTTGAAATCCAATCCTATCATTGTTATTTTTTTGACTAAT